ATTGTGTTCCGTACAATTAAATTTCGGATTTTCCATTTTTGATAAATAAAAAATTAATTTCTTTTTAATAGAACGCTGGTTAGCTATTTTCGGTAGCTTGTTATGTATTATTTTGGTGCCTTCTGAAAATAACTTATCGCTTATCGCTTGGCTGCAACAGCGCCTGTGGGGTATAGGCACGCTCCTCTATATGTATTCCATGACTACTTCTTTGTGAAATAAAATCACTACGGCATGTGTTACATTTCAATCTTTGTAATATTTGTCGAGCCATGTAGCCAGAAATGTATGCGTGTGTATTCGCCGCAATTTCACTTTGGTTGACTACATCTTCGCCTGTATCTTCACCTTCATCTTCATTCATGTCTTCATGTTCTTCAAAGGATGTTGTAGAATTTGACGATAATACAGAAGAAGCAAATAATTTTATTTTTTCAAAAGGCGGCCGGCTCTTCTTCACAATTGGCTCCCGGCGAATGTGATGAGGCAAAGTTATTCACCAATAAAGTTTTATAGGTATTTTTAAAAGGGATTGATGTTGCGAGCGCCGTGCAAGCCGCACAAATTTTCTAAGGGATCTTGGTTTAAATTTGTGGGCAAAAGAAATTTAAAATTAAGACCTTGTAGTTTATTCCACAACGCCTTAAACCCTTTAAGAGTTTTAATCCAAATTTCACAGTTGGTGGTACAAATTCTGTTCCATTACCTGATAGAAACTTCATGCCCCTTAATACATCCAATGCTTCATTCCAAAAATTAATATGCGGTGACCCATTAGTGATAGCACACCGCAGCAGTTTTCCATTTTCAGCACGGATTGTTGACCCATTTTTTTTTCACGAAGTTTTCACAATGTCCTTACTCCACTATTTCGTTTAAATCTTTTGTTCTTTATTTGGTTTTTCTACATGCAAAAAATAACTTGTTATAAATTATTTTTTGAATAATATTAATTTATTTTACTTACTCAATTCGGAATGCCCTCAGTTCTTTAATTAATCTTAATATTAATAACACTAATCTCCTTTTTGATTTGATGCGTATGTGTGAGTATTTGTACGTATGCGTGCGTAAAGTTGCGGTAGTTTGAACTAAATTTATGGTTAACGCATGCTCATATGGAATTAACACAGCATGAGACTGGTTGAAAAACTAAAAATAACAACATTCATTTTTTTAATAGAATTTCCCACGGAAACAAAGAAAATGAAAACATGGCTACTAAAAATTTTGTAATTTTTGGAAGGTGAATTGTGAATGTTTGTAGCGACGCTACAAATACTCCCCTCTCCAAAAGATACAAAGACCACTCAAAATTAGTAGCAACAAGGATATGAATATAAATGTAATTTTTAATTTAAATACAGAAACGAACTCGCAAATGTTTTTTGTAAGTGCTAATAATTTGCGATGAATTATTGATATTGAAAGAAGAATTATTAATCGTTGATAAAGAATTATTAAAAATTGACGAAGAATTGTTAATTGCAGAGTAAGAATTGTTAGTCAAAAATGCCGGTATAAGGCGGTCTATATTGACTATCAATTCTTTGTTATTTTTATTAATGACATAATTTTTCTTAAAACGTTTTAATACTCTGTAAGGTCCTTCAAATCTGGGAGATAAAGATTTGAAGTTTTGTAATTTTAAAAAAACGAATTCAGATGTCGGCAAATCTTTGTGAATGAAAGGCTTCGACACTGAATGAAATTTTGTTTGAATAGGTTTAAGCTTAAGAAAAGTTTCTCTCAAACTTGTTAGTAAGGGTGTTGTCCCTATGTTATGTTGAGAGGTTATGAAGAATTCCCCTGGTAGGCGTAATGGCTGCCCATAAACTAGTTCAGCGGGGCAACAACCGAGATCTTCCTTTAAACAGGATCTTAAACCCAGTAAAATTACAGGAAGATTGTTGTTCCACCTATAGCTGCATCCTTTGGCGGTGATGGCATTTTTAAGGGTCCTGTGGAACCTTTCCAAAATGCCGTTGCTCTGGGGATGATAAGAAGAGGTGTGGATCTGTTGAGATCCCAACAACTTATTGAATTGTCGAAAGAGATGGGATTCGAATTGTTGACCTCTATCATGTGAGATGGTATGAGGCACACCGAATCTCGAAAAATATTGATTAAATAGGATTAAAGCTATGCTTTCAGATGTTGTATCTGGAATCGGATAGGCTTCTGGCCATCTAGTAAATCGGTCATAGTATATTATGATAGTATATTATATTACTGTAAGGATATAGGAACAACCCATTGAAGTAGGTAAAGGACCTACTAGATCAATGTGAATGTGTTCAAAGCGTCCTTTTGGTATGGGTATATGATCTATTGGTGATTTTGTATGACGATGCACCTTGGCCTTTTGGCATTGTATGCATGTCCTACACCAATGTTTAATGTCTTTGGTTAAATGTGGCCAAAAAAATCTTTGCTTAATTAAATTTAAAGTAGCTTTAAAACCGGAATGTGAAAGAAAATGAAATTTATTAAAAATATTTCGCCTGAAACAAGTTGGAATGTATAATTTAAGTGAAGAAGAATCTTCATACCAAAGATCTGAATTAGAATTTGTCATTCTACTTTTAGCAAGATGGTATCGTTTGTTCTGGCTTAAAAATTGTTTATCAATAAGATGTTTCAACTCTACATCTGAATCTTGAGCCTCTTTCATTGCTGATTCTGAAGGATATTCAGAATTCAAACAAGTTATATTGATTCTAGAAAGAGCGTCCGAAACAACGTTATGTTTTCCTTTCACATAATTAATTTGAGAAGTAAACTTTATAATGTAGTTAATATATCTCGTCTGTCTAGGCGTTTTTTCTGATTTTGAAAAGAATGCTGTTACTAGCAGCTTATGGTCAGTGAATACAATAAATTGATTTCCATGTAAGAAATGCTTGAAATGTTTTATAGCTGAATATATTGCCAATAATTCCCTATCAAAAGTGGAATATTTTATCTGACTAGAACTTAATTTCTTTGAAAAAAATGCTATAGGTGAAGTAACTTCATCAATTGTTTGAGAAAGAACTGCTCCCATAGCCTAATCCGAGCAATCGGTGGTTAAATAATAGACCTGTAGGGGAAGGATGAGCAAGAAGGACAGAATTGATTAGGGCTTTTTTTGTAGCTTCAAATGCCTTTTTATCTTCTATTGTTCATGAAGATATTGTTTTTAATTTCTTTGAATTATAAGAAGTAACCAAAGAATGTAATGGCGATAAAATTCTAGAAATGTTAGGAAGGAAACGGTAGTAAAAATTAACCATTCCTAAAATCTCTGTAATTCTTTAACCGTGTTCGGAAGAGGAAATTTTGAAATAACTTCAATTCTGGATTTTGAGGGTTTAATACCAGCCTGAGAAACACGATGGCTTAGAAAATCTAATGATGAAACACCGAAGATACATTTTGTAGGTTGGATATTGATCCCATAATCACTAAGCCGTTTGAATAAAATTTGTAGATGCTCTAAATGTTCGTCTTCAGATTTACTTGCCACAAATATATCATCCAAATAAACAAAGAGAAAATTTAAGCCAGACAGTACTTCGTTGATAAATCTTTGAAAAGTTTGTGCGGCGTTTCGTAAGCCAAAGGACATTCGAACGAACTCGAATAAACCGAAAGGGGTTTACATATTGCCGTTTTATAGATATCCTCTGGAGCTACCGGAATTTGGTGATAAGCTTTGACGAGATCGATTTTTGAAAAACTTGAACATCCTTGTAGGTGAAGGTTAAAATCCTGAATATGCGGTAAACGATAAAGGTCTGATTAAATTCAACCGTCTGTAATCGTCGCATGGGCGCCATTCATCAGTACCTTTTTTGGGTACCATATGTAATGGTGAAGATGCGGACAAAAAAGATGGGCGGCAAATACCCATTTCTACCATTAATTCAAATTCTTTTTTGACGATTAGAAGTTTTTTTGCATCCAGACGACGTGGTCTACTAAAAGAAAGATGCGAATTGGTGATAATTTTATGGGTAATTGAGTGTAAGACTGGTTTTGAAAAATCCGGAATACATGTTAAATTAGGAAATTGTTTAACTAACTTTGTGAATTTAGTTTCAATAGAGATCTGAGAATTTATTAAATTAATTTTGGAAGGGTTAAAATTAAAAACAGAACAAATTGAAGCGATATGCGTTAAAGGATCAATTATTTTACGATTCTTGATATCGACTAAAAGATGGTACTTTCCTAAAAAATCAGCACCTAATATTGGTTTCGTCACATCTGCTAAAGTGAAAACGAATGGAAATGTGCGTCTTAGACGTAAAGATACAGAAAGAAATTTTTTTCCAAACGTTTTAATTTTGCTACCATTAGCGGCAGACAATACCAAGGATTGCGAGAGATTTGTGAGAAGGAAATAAAGAAACAGGAAGTACCGAAATGTCTGCTCCGGAGTCAATAAGAAAGTTAAGGTTATTAAGATCGTCGTAAATAAATAACCGTGAACTTACAGATTCACCTCCGGAGGATATATTTTATTTAAACCCTTATTTTTAATCTCTATTGAAATTTTTGTTAGTTTTTTTGATTTGAAGCTATTGATTTTTCAGTAAAAGATGAGTTGAATTTACACCAACTCCCTTGGCAATACCTTGCTTTATCACCAAAACGAAAGTGAAATTTGCAAATTCCGCAATTGTTGTCACTTCTTGAAGGACTTTTAGAAGAAGACCTTGAGCGAAAATTCGAATTTTTTCTGAGTGAACAATGATTACAACAACGACCACTGTTAAAATTGTTGTAGTTACTGAGTTTTTCTTTTATTGACGCAATCTGTGCATCCACAACAGTTTGTTTTTGTGAAAAAGTAGAAAAGATATTTTGACATTTTGTTGTGAAATTGTCAAATGCTTTTAATACATCATTCAAGGTTGTTTGTTGTGAACACGGGATGGGAGTCATTCTTATTAGTAGTACTTTGAAAATTTGCTTTAAAATTTTAATTTTCTCATGAGGAATTCGAAAGAGCTTCCCATATCTTATCGGCCATTGCCAATAAGTCGGTGGTCTCTTCTTTCCCCGATGCTAGGAGATCTACTGAAATAGACTTTGGCAGTCTATTACGCCACAGTCTGAAAAGCAGATCTGCGCTCACCAGTTGAGAGTCTCCAATGGAGGCTAAAAGCTCTCGATAAAACTCTGAGGGCTTCTGGTCCCCCATGTGTGTGTTGGAGAGTAGATCATTAAGTCGCTTTTCTTCACTTAAGGAAAAACGGCTAATGATCGCTCTCTTTATACACCCGTATGCATCCTCCGTCGGAATTGTGTTAATTAAATCGATTATAGAATTAATTATCTCTGGCGGAAGATGCGTGACCACCAGATTAAACTTGGTACGATGGTTGATGATCCTACCAAGGGCAAACTGTGATTCAATTTGCCAGAACCGCGTTTCTGGACGTGCAGCCCAAAAGGGAGGTAGTCTCATATTGACTGCCCCAACGTGGTCTGGCGTTTCTGGTGCTTCATCACTTCTCAACAAAACGAATCAAGGAAATAAAGAAAAATTTTGAGACGATTAATAATTCTTGTTTGTTAATGATTTGTTAAAATTTAGATTTTGAGAGGTGTTTAATATCTCAGTACTGAAAATGGGTATTCACAGCGTAAATCCACCTCCCAAAATAATGATTTAAAATGTACTTTGCCGAACAAATGTTAAAGGTGAAGCGTGACGTCGGGTCTTGAGTTTTCTAATGCCTTTCATAAATTTTCTTCAAGAAAATATTCATTTCTTAATGAAGTCTTGATGACGTTGTCATTCTCGCCAATGATGTATTTTCACTGATTTTTCTATCGTTCCTGTTCCAACTTCAGCTTCTCCCCCAATTTTTGAAGAATATTTAATATTTGGTTGTTCTTTACCTTGTCTTTACCTTCTTGAAATTTCTTTAACTCTTCTAAAAATTGAGTGGTAGAATAAGGAGTCAAGGTGCAAGGGAAAATAAAGATTCGGATTCTAAATTATTTTCTGTGTTGGGCTTTTCGTCGAGACTCAGACTCCAAATTATTTTATCGTATCGTGTTTTTCGTCGGAGTCACCAATAAAATATAGCTTGTTTTATAAGTACGAAGGCTTTCACGGCCGATATTAATTAAACTAACACTAGCACTAGCACAAGAACTAACACTAGACCTAGAACTAGAATCTTTCGGGTTAAGCCGTGCGTTTTTTGAAAAAATGTTTGAGGTTTCGGATGCCATGTTGCAACCTTATTCAGAAATAAGTTCGAAGTAGTACTTCGAACTTGTTTCTGAAGAAAAGATAGTGCTAGTGTTAGTTCTAGTTTTAGTTTAGCTTCTTTTAATAGAATAATTATATTCAAATAGCTACTTGCTATATTTTTAAAAATTTTAAAAAATATTCTTTTTAGAAGACAATTTTAATATACGTCTTACACGTAGTTACAATCAGACAAGACTGGTTGAAAAACTAAAAATAACAGCATTCATTTCAGCGTTTCATTTTTTTAATAAAATTTCCCACGGAAACAAAGAAAATGAAAACATGGCTACTAAAAATTTTGTAATTTTTGGAAGGTGAATTGTGAATGTTTGTAGCGACGCTATTTAATTTTTTCGATATTCCATATAGTTTCACTGAAAATCGCGGTTTAGTAAGATGCGGTATAGTCGAAAACGGCTAGTTGGATTTTAACGCGGTTTTAACCAAAATATGGTAAATAATTGTGTTTGTCGAATCCTGTTATTGGGTTTACAAAGTTTTGTCTCCATAATTTTTTTAGAACAATTTACGCGAGCTATAAATTAAAAAGAAACAGAAATAAGCCATGCGGGGAGAGAGGGGTTCTGTTCAGATGGAAAAAGTGGTGCTGGTTGTGTTCCAGACTGGCTTCGACGTGGCGTATTGAAGTCAGAAAGTAAAAGACGGTCAAGACGCGTCATAGAATAATTATACAGATGTATCTGAATGACTTGCCCAAACTTCAGGGGCTGATTCTTTAGGCAATTTTAAGGGTACTTTGATATATGAACCATGGGCGACTTCGGCTCCCCTAAGGAGCTACACCCCTCCAAAAATGGCGGAAAATTTTGGTTTAATTTATTTTTCTCGAGAACTATAAACACCAGGAAAATGAAATTTGGGGAATATGTTTAACTCATAATAGGACACGTTTTGACCCTATTTGTACTTTCAACCTACCCTTCTAAACTACTAAATGTAACCACCCACTTTACATTTTTGCTAACATTTTTTTTATGCAGATGATAAATGCATTAGAAAAATTTTACATAGGTACAGGGTCCGGCAGTGAAACGGAAAGATTTCGTAAATAATTTTGTTGCGTGTTTTTTAAAATAGTGCATTTTTGAAAAGTCCTCATAAGCACCTTTTTATGTAGAATTCGATGGAATAAGTTAGCTTTCCCTCAAAGCAATATTTTAGCAGTTATTGACATAAATATGATTTTTTTTAAATGGAACACCTATATATTTTTGCAAATTCGACGAGAGCATAAAATTTCTTTTCCAGAAATACAGCACACTTGATATTTTGTTCAAGTCTTCTTTGAAATATACAACTTTAAAACTTATATGTACAGATTTTGAAAAAGTAGGCTTTGGAAATAAAAGAAAAACGAGATTATACGGTAGACACGCGATAGTGTAAACCGAAAAAAACACGGACTGTTCACATTATCGATTTATTCACGTTAATGAAGATGATATCTAATATACAGGTGACACACAAAAACGCCACAAGCACATAACTCTGTCATTTACATTCCGATTTTTATGACACAGGTATCAAATAAAATGGTTTTATAAATACTATAATACTATAATTCATACTACAAATAAATTTTGTCCAACACCATCTTCAATTTCAAGCGATTATTAACTTTTGTTTTTCAAATTGCTGCGTATATTTTTCTTCACGTCATTGGATAGACATTTTTTTCTGCTAAAATTACAATTAATGTTAATGTATTGTACATCAATGGGTTCAGAAAAAAGATCTCTATCCCATAACGTGAAGAAAAACATACCGAGCAATTTGAAAATCAAAGTTGATAATCGCTTGAAATTGAAGATGACGTGAAGAAAAATATATGGAGCACTTTGAAAAACAAAAGTTAATAGTCGCTTAAAATTGAAGATGGCTTTGAAAAAAATGTATATATTTGTAGCATGAATCATAGTATTCATCAAACCATTTGATTTGATGCCTTGGTCATGATAATCGGAATATAAATGACAGATTACTTATAATTAACAAAACTAATACATAAAACAATATGTAACACTTATTAATAGTAAAGTAAGTAAAAATAGTAACAAATTAAAAATTTATAATCATTTTTTGCCGAAAAACCCCAAAATGTTTGTTTGTTGTTGCCCTTTCTTTATTTTTTGCATAACTGCTTTTTGTCTTAGTTTTTTATAACTATGTACTATTTTATTTCCGATTTAGAAATAGTTTTAGTTGCAATTTTACCAGAGGAACACCTGAATATTTAAAATTATTATATAAATCCATTAAAATTTATTTAAAATTAATTAAAAAAAAAAAAAAAACATAACCTCACTTTTCAAAATTTGATTTCTTAAAAAATTTAAAATCTTTAATTTGAAATTTGTTATTTTGTTAGAAACCTTCTGATGATGGTCTAATAAGCCGAAACATGTAAAGGAAATATTTTAATTAATACATCGATTAACAGTAAAATAGAAAGTAATATTTATTCAATTTACCTGAATATTTAATGAAGTGCGAACAAACTTTTAAAAATTTTTGAATTTTGTGTTCATAAAATATTTGTTACTTTAATGTAACATAATGAAGTGATACTAATGAGTCTCACCATATAGCTTTATGCTCGAATGAATGTAATTATCTCAGTATATAAGATTTGATATTAGAGGGACTCTTTTTTAGCCCTTCTGAGAACGACCCATAATCGGAAGTGCTAAAAATCTGAATTCTCAAATTTTTATTTTGGTCAGAACCTAAGAAACGTCTAATGAACGGCCTCGCTGAGACATCGTGTATACTAGTGTATGACGGTTTCTTATGTAATGATGCATTAATATTTTTTATTCATGACGTCTTTTTCCATCAGTTCTAGTACTTACCTTATAGCTGATTTTATTTAGAGAAATCGTCCAAATTTACATTTGGGGATTTATTACTAGGAACGCAGGAACAGTTGTAACAGGTATTTGGAACTATAACTTTTTAGAAACAGGAACATATTGTGCCTGGTTCCCTAAAATACTTATTTATAGCATCTCTGCTCCAGAATGGATTCTAAACATTTTTATTATTATTAATAAAACATTACATATTAGTTTTATTATTCATTAAAATATTTTTATAATTTTTCTTTAACATATTCATCAATTCTTTTCATCCCATTTTTAGTAGCTACATGTAAATTTTCTCCACAAACAACTTTATTAATATACGGATTATGAATTTCGGCTATTTGCGTAGAAGCAGCAGCAGCTGGATCTCCACTTCCATGAAGACTTCCATACCAAAATTCATTTCCAGGGAAAGCATTTCCATCCCAAGCGTACGACACAACAAGTAACTTTCCTAAATTTTCGTCAATCATTTTTTGATGTGGTTCTCTTTTAGAAATTAATATTTTGATTCCTTCATTTGGATGATTTTCAATGGATATTTTATCTCCATTTTTGTATCCACCAGCACTTTTACCACGGAAATATGCAAAATGTATATCTGAAACAGATTTCAGATATTGTCCAAGAAACCTAAAAACTTTAAAAATAGTAATCAAGTTATTTTTTCTTTGTAATCGAAAATTTAATACATTATTCTATCGATAAATGTATCCATGAAGATTTGAGTTTGTTCTTCTGTATGAGCCCAAACTCCTAAACCTATTCCAACAAGATGAATGTAGGATGATTTTTCCTGTTTTTCAGCTCGTGAATTAGCTTCTAGTAAGAGTGTATCGAAGCTAAGAGTCAATCGCTTTGAATAAGTGAGTTTATCAAAAAATTGATCGTTTTCTATATTGATGAAATCGTCGTGGTCATGATTTGATAAAAACTCATCGTACGTTTGATTTTCTTTCTTATAAAAATTTGAAAAAAATCCTACAGTACTTGTTTCTCCATTATTTCCATAACCGTTAGATTCAACGTTTTGTCTAATATCCATAACAACATCTTGATACTCCATAACATTTTCTTTTTCTAATCTAGGTCCTATTAATCCAATAATAACCCCATTTTCTTCGATGTTACTTTTATCTTCCGAGGGAATACCATCGTTCATTCGATTACCATCGTTGATAAAATAAGTATAGGAAGAAATAGACATTAAAGCAGATAATTTTATTTCATCATAACTCAAGCAATTAGCTAAAACCAATTCTCCAATTTCATTTGTTGTCCCAACTGATTCAAAATTGCCAAAACCTCGCGATTTATTAATCAACATCCATTTATCTTGTTGCCCAACAAAATACACCGCCCGTTTTTTTAAAAACCTTTCTACCAAATCCACCACGTTCATATTTAAATAAAGCTCCTTTTCGATATCGTTTCCATATTGACGCTTATGATTTAAAAATGCTTGATATAAATAAAGCGTTGCTTCATGAATTAGTGGATAAGCCGAATTTATATATGTATTGAGATTTTCTTCATTAACAGTTTTCTGTAATACCTTGCATCGTATTGTATCAATTGGGAAATTTATCGGAAACTTTTCCGATGATTCTATTATTTCCGATAATGATGAAGTTGGAGGCTGGCTTATGTTAGCAATGTGAGGTTTATTCTCTTTTTCTTTGATTATTGCATTTAACCAATTTTCTACATTTGACATTTTTAATTTTTGAGAGGTGGTGGATCTAAAATAAAAGAAAGTTCATACATAATTTCAAAATCAAAAGTAAATTGATTTGGAATGAATCTATCAATATAACCAAATTGTGTATTGGAAAAAGTAATAAAATGTCGCACGGTTAAACTCGAAACTTTCCAGGTCTAGTATTAGTTCTAGTTTTAGTTCAATGAAAATATACAATGCTGAATAATAACTAAAACTAGAGCTAACACTAGCACTAGAACTAACACTAAAACCTAGAACTAGAAACATTCTGGTTAAGCCCGAATGGTTCTAGATCTAGACGTAGAACCAGACTAACACTAGTGTTAGTTCTACTTTTAGTTCAATGAAAATATACAAAAATCTAACGCTGAATTTACAACTAAAACTAGAGCTAACACTAGACGCATGGCTAAACCCAAATGTTTCTAGTTGTAGGTTTAGTGTTAGTTCTACTTTTCGTTCAATAAAAATATACAACAATCCATCGCTGAATAACAATTAAAACTTGATCTATTTTTGAAAATTATCCGCCGTTTGTAACAGACTTTTGTCACGTATCAAGGGTCAAGGGTGAACCTTAAAACCAATATGCTGTTTTACTGCAAAGCAGTTTTGCATGGTGCTGATTTTTACCTATCGCCAACTATCAGCGGTAAACTTCTATGCTGTATAGTTGATCAGTTTTTCTCTATCATGTCGTATTAGGTGGGAGAAATTCCAACTTTACATTCTTTAAATTAATAAGAGGGTGTGCCGTACAATTGTCGAGAAGCAATACAAAACTATTTATCATACCTCTTATGTTCTGTCAATACAAGTCAGGATTTTCACTGCTACTTTATTGAACAAAACTAGAATTATTTTATTTTACAGTACTCGTAATAACGTGTCTTGACTTGTCGTCTTCGTCATACTTGTACTTTACACAGGTTGGTATTGCCAACCTAATATGCAAGACTTGTGCAAGACCACCTCCAAAGCCAACTTCGAAAATTTTCGGAAGTCATCCATGCATTTTTGTTGGCGTACTACTCCACTGGTTGGGCATGCGACGACGGAAACTTTACATAACCTTCAAATAACCTTTAAATTTATTACGAGTAATGACTTTGAAATAAATAACCAAGGCTGTGAACCTACACTCGTCAATGCCTTGGCATCGACGAACGTATCTACAAAGATTAACAACTGGTGTGTCTCCCAGGAGGAGTCTATGTCTGAACACAGATGGATTAATTTCGAACTAGGATCTAGTGTGCTCTTAAAAGAGAATGTCCGAGATCCAAAGCGGACTGACTTGAGCATTTTTGCAAGCTGTCTAAGCGAGCAATTGCACGATTTTCCGGAAGCCCTTCCTGGGAATACCGATTAATTAGAGGAATACTCGAATATCGTAGGTGGCACACTAATTCAGGCTTTCCACAGTGCATGTCATGACAGCACAGTGGAGGAGAAAGAAAGAAACCTGTATTCACTGAGGGTCACCTGCAGAGAGGCTTTTAATAAAGTTAAACAAACTGACTGAATTCTGACTGGCCTGTGTTTAAAAGACACCAGTCAGAATTCAAAGTACTAGAGAGTAAGTAGAAGGCTTCACGCCTTAACAAAATAGTATCTCGCGGTCAAAAACAGCTGTGACGGTCTAAAAAAGAACGACGGCAGTTTTTCCAAGCATCCAGAATAATCATTGTACTCTCAGTACTCTCACCGCTTCTCCGGTGCTTAACGGTTGATGATCTCATTCGTGAGTTGAATTATAAACATCTCTTCACAGTCGGCTACGCCGATGACGTGGCTATTCTGTTAAGAGGTAAACCTATCAATTTTCTTTGTTATAGAATGCAGCACGCGTTTAAACTTGTTGAACGATGGTGTGAAGAGCATACTTTATCTGTAAATTCTAAAAAGACTGAGATTGTTCTCTTCACCAAACGGAGGAAACTGGGACACTTAACACCACCCCATTCCTGCAACAGTCCATTAACCTTTGCTCCAGAAGTGAAATATCTTGGACAAAGGACTGACTTGGAAATCATACGTTAGTTGCAAAACCAAAAAAGCAACGATTGTACTCACCCAGTGTCGAAAGGCAATTGGGAATACTTAGGGATTAAGTATTCCACAATGTGAATCTACACGTCTGTGATAAGACCCATAGTAGCCCACGGTGCTGTGCATTGAAACATGCCTATAAGGCTAAATTGCTGTATCAATTGCAACGAGTAGCCTGATAATCACGGGCGTCATGAGATCGACACCCACAATCGCGCTGGAGACTATGTTAAACGTGCTGCCCCTAGATATTTCTATCAGGGAGGTGGCCGTGATGGCGTTGTTTCGATTGTGGCCAGTGAATAATGAGCAGGTTGTCAAAATGGGAAAAGTCCGGAGCAAACTCTGGAGTGAGGCTGTTCGTAAACAACCTCTCCTTGAAGCTCGCACAGACTACATCATACCTACTTTCTTGAACAGGCCACACTTTGGCATTGAAATGATACCCCGGCGCAACTTAAGCACTGGCAAAACGCTGAAGAAGGATGGAGGGGGAATTTTCTCGCACGATCACCAGCTACACCTTTCCACTTCGCTAGGGTCATACTGCACGACTGCTCAGGCCGAAATAATTGCTATAAATATAGCAGCCAATATGATCATCAACTCCAAAAAAGTTGGCAGAAACGTTGTAATCTGTACAGATAGCAGACAGGCTATGCTGGCGGTTAGTAGGCATAGAACTACATCATCGTTAGTGAATTCCTGTCGGCAATCACTTGAAGAGGCTAAAGTTTATAAAACATCACGATAAAGTACACGATCATACGGACAGGTAGGCGAAACGGGCGGCTAAGAAGTCACCGGTGTCTCCTGAACCGTTTGTACCTGTAACTATGAATTCAGCATCAAAGCTGATCAACTCCAAAACCCATCGAGCTTTTCGCGATAGATGGGATGACACTGCAGTAAGTGTCTTTGCAAAGAAAACTCTGCTCTACTCTTACCGGAAGAGATCTACTCAGCTCCTGGGAAAATCAAAAAGCGACTTGAGGCTCCTCACCCATTTCCTGACCAGACACTGCAAGTTACGTAAAGCACATGTTCTACCCAAATTTCGGATATAAAGAACATACCCTTTTGTTCTATATTACCGTTCATTAAAATCTTGAGCTGGTTTTCTGACCCCTGAATGAACTGTAAAATGTGGGGATGTACAAAGGGCCCGTTGAGGCCTAAGTTCTGTGAAGGAATTCAGCCCCACGTAAAGCTACATACATACTCCACTGGTAAACTCTTCATTCGTAAGCCTTTAAAACACTAAGGTTTATTACTTTTTAACGAACAATTTGTGATCTAGTGGGTTTTTGTATCCAGATTATGATTTATGACAAACAATTGCGTATATTGTATTGCGTAATCATCAGTTTTTTTAATGATTTGTCTCTAATTTTTTTTAATGCTATTTACGCGAATTATAAATTAAAAAGAACATGAAATAAGAACAACTTAAATATTTTTGCATAAAAACCTTGGGTGAACTTTAGTTTTTTTTAATGAAAACACTACGTATTATAACAATTTTTAATAGCAATTTTATTAATTCCAATTATAATTTAAATTTTTAATAGAGCTATTAATTAATAAAAAATTAATTTAAACACATGTTGCCTAAAGTAGTGTAGCGTACTTATACACCTTTCCTATTTAAAATTATTAGTTTTTTTTTAAATCAAGTTTACGTTATATTCGTTACCATTAATTTATTTATTATTATTAATTATTGTTTTTTGATTTTGTCAATAAAAAAATAACATTAAAGAAACATCAAACACCAATACGTGTTTATTGCGTTGTAAGAGTTAAAAAGATTATTTAAAATTAATACTAAGTTAGTTTTGTTTATAAATGTTAATCATCCCTTAAAAGAATATTGGATAGGGTTAGTTTTCATTTGAAATGTCAATCATCCCGGAAAAGAAAGGTCTGAAGAAATATGAGAAGGAAGTAGAAAAGTTCTTAAAAGACATAGAAAACTCAACCTGTGACTTAACACCTATTTTAACACGAGGATATATCGAATTTAGGTTTAATTCGACATATATCCTAAATTCGTTAGAGACCAAATTGCAGAAAAACGGAAAGCGAGAAAGAAATGGCAAACTAATAGCATTCCTACTAATAAAGCTAAATTAAATAAAATAACAGCAGAATTAAGAACATTAACAGCTGCAAACAAAATAATATTCAAAATTACTTAAAAGACCTTACTGTTTATTCTGTGGAAACCAACAAGAAAGCTAAAAGTTCGAAAAACACTTGTATCTCCAATTCGAACTAGTAACGGGAATTAGGCTAAGAGTAATCAAGAAAAAGCTAATTTGTTTGCTGCACATCTGAAAGAAACTTTTACATCAGACAGTTCAACAACTATGTTAAATATTGTTGCTGTCATAAGTCAAAGTGATGAGCAGAGTAATATACCATCTGTAAGCATAAAAGAACTTTATTACGAAAAAGCTCTAATATCAACAGATTTATTTGGGTTACAGAATAAACATGCAACAATAGACCAAGTGCATAGAATAATAACAAGTACTTCTTGAAATAGCAATAGAAGAAAATAAAGTCTACTTAGCCGTATTTTTGGATGTTGCACAAGCTTTCGACAAAGTCTGGTTAGATTGTTAAATTACAAACTAAACCAAATACTACTTCAACGTATAGTCAACTATTAAAATCGTATCTTTCTGATATTTTAGAGTAAAATGCGAAAACGCTTATTCACCACTACATGAAATACATGTCGGCGTTCCTCGAGGAAGTGTACTTGGCCCAGCACTGTACTTACTCTACACCTTCGACCTTAACAACTCATTAAAAACAAGCTGCCTACATGTCAGCCCCCGATATTTTTTCACAAAAACGAACCTTTTAGTATACTAAAATATTGTACTAGTTTTGTACCTTAATCTACCGGTGACAAAAAGGTTTGTACCCCACCGGTTTCCGAGAAAAAACCCCTTTTATAAGGCGGGGGCTTGCTGAAACTCACATTCTGGCGATTTAGCATACAAACTTTCCATTTTTTGTACGTTATAGTATTGTACTAGTTTTGTACCTTAATGTACCGGTGAAAAAAAGTTTTGTACTCCAAAACTTCCACAGAATCACAGGAATTCCAGCAGAACAGCAGAAAGGTTTGTTTGTGCAGGCGCTGATACCACCAAGAATTTATGGACTACCGCAGATTCATAAACCAGACGTCCTCCTCCGCCCTATCGTCAGTGCCATCAACGGTTCTGTCTCCTTTCACAGGGAATACGGAATTTTATGTCAGGGATTCTACACACTTTTGGAATCGGTAAAAGGTATAAAGCTAGATGCTGAGGATATTTTGGTGAGTTTCGATGTAGAATCCCTTTTTACTAGGGTACCAGTTAAGGATGCCGTACATGGTCTCCGTCAAAAGCTCATTCCGGAGGGATTACCAGAATACGTGCCAGATCTAGTGGAGTACTGTTTATCATCGATGTATTTCAGCTGGAAAGGAGAATTTTACGATCAGTTCGAAGGGGCAGCCATTGGATCTCCATTATCGCCAGTTATAGCGAATTTCTACATGGAATTATTGGAAGAAGACGCTTTGAAGAAGAGCCAGTGGAAACCAAAACTATGGCTTCCATATGTGGATGACACGTTTGTGATATGGCAACATGGTCAAAAACGGCTCCAAGAGTTCTTGGATCACTTGAACTCTCAACATCCCATGATTCAGTTTACCATGGAAACAGAAACTGCCAAAAAACTACCTTTCCTAGATGTGTTGGTCACCAGGACGACAAATGGAGATATGGAACTTGATGTATATCGGAAGAAGACCCGTACCAATAGGTAATTGCCGACATCATCACATCATCATACCCAACAGAAGAGGTCTGCACTTTATTTCAGCGTGCAGCGAGAATATGTGAAGAAGATAACTTGAGGAAGGAGCACTTTCTACGAGGCGTACTGCAGAAGAACGGATACACTTCGAGGGACATCAACCGGGCCATCAAGCCGCGAAAGCAGAGGGAGGACGCGGTAAGTACAAAACCTCTTGGATTTATCTGTCCTCCCTATGTTTCAAGTGTAACGGAATGAATTGCCACCACCTCAAGAAGAACGACATCATAGTGCGGTACGGGATGGTCAGCAAAATCCGGAACACACTCCTGATAGCCAAGGACAAACTAACTCCATTAAAAGGAGCGGGAGTCTACCGACTATCGTGTAGTTGTGGGAAGGTTTACGTTGGCCAAACTGGACTTAACGTCGAACGAAACGTCAAACCTTTTGTTAAAAGACGCACGGCAAAACCCGAAAGTTTCTAGTGTTAGTTTTAGTTCAAGGGGTTGTTTCTCAGAAATCGTTGGGGTACAAAACTTTTGTACATTAAGGTACAAAACTAATACAATATTTTAGTGTACTAAAAGGTCCGGTTTTGTCAAAAAATGTCGGGGGCTGACATGTAGGCAGCCCGGTATAGTTTAAGAACTGTACAATACTTTAGCATAAAGATTTTTATTTTTGGGAACGTCGGGGGGCTGCCTGCATGGACCTGACGCAGAGGGCTGCTTGATGATGATGATGATAGAATGTAAAAACAGTACAAAGAGCACTAAAAAAATAAACAAGTTTATCATAATAACTTGAGCTAATCTAAATTACAACAGATTTGTCTGATAATATTTCTTCATCTTCCTTTTAATTTTTTTCCGAATCTGTTATATTTTTACTTGTATCACTTTTATACGTACTGTTTGGGTATTTACCCTGGGCTGGGGTAAATACCCGGACAAATACCAATTTTATAAACCTACCCACCGGATATTTATCCAGCGCCTATCACTAGAATGCTCTGATGCAGAAGGTGTCCCGTACCCGTATAGATTTTTGAGAAAAAAATCGTAATGTAGATAAAGTTGCCGACATCCAAAGAAATCGGGCACGTTTTGCCCAAGGTCCGTTGAATATAGATTATACTCAAGGTGAGTATACAATGTTTACTCAACGGACCTTGCGTTTTTCATTTAACTCGCGACAAGAAAAAAACCGCGAAGTCGAAAATTTTCAAATTCATTTTCACATTTTACGTAGAAATGTGCCGTGATTACAACAAACTTTACAGTTATTTTCTTCATCGAACGAATTAATACTTATTCCTGCGGTTATAAACATCAATTCAGGACCAGCGTGACGCCATGTTCCTTTCATATCATGCAAAACATTTGGGTGTGTCGGATAATCTTATTCTCTAGATATTTTGCAACTTTTTAAAAGATAATTTATCGAAATAATCTTAATAATAAATAAGTTAAGAAATACCTTATTTGTTCAATAAGTTTCTTATGTTTTTTAAGTAACACTGCGTATAACACACAATACATTAATACATACAATAAAGAACGTTGTTTATTTTATACAGGAAACAAATTATAAAAACCGCAGTTACCTCGCCCAATATTTTGTTTAATAACAAAGTGAACCGCGGAATCTTCTTATTCACTTTGATATCTAACCTTAGAGGTTAACTAAGTTGCATTGTTTTCCTCTAAATATCAGCACGCGAATAAATTTATGTCTCTAAAAAATAATAAAGATTTTCTTTTATATACTTGTTATTCAAGGTTAAGCATATGAATAACATCCTCATACCTAAAGAAATCTTTTAGAACACGATTCGTACAGTGTGTAGCAGAGAAATAACACGATTAATGTGAATATTAGATTAAAGAAAAATGACGACACTAAGTGATTTTATGTCGCAAAATCATACAAACGAGATAAATCCGAGTGCAATAAATAATGGAAAATGTGTGTTACCAAAAACGACATTGAACGAAGTGATTCAACTTAGTGCGGAATTTCCAATTTCGTTTCCAATACTTTCTGCAAAATGCGAATCGTTAAAGAAGATAGTAAGTGGGGAATTTTTGGAAAGAAATATTCGATCGGTTTATCCAATAATTCATGAAAAAATTTTGATTTTGTATACGAACTTTTTATGTCATAAACGAAAGTTTGGTTCTAAAGTTGAAAAAGAAGTTTATAAAGATATGACTGTGGTGGATTTGGTGGATCGATTATTAAAAAAACGGGCTATTTGTTTTGTTGGGGTGATGGATGCTTGGAAATTAAGAGATGGTAAAGAAGGAGTCGGTGACTGGGAATCAATTGGAACCGATGACGAAACCATTTTGCAATTAAAAGATTATCTCAGTTATGACGAAATAAAATTGTCCGCTTTTTTATCGGTCTCATCGTACACTTATTTTATAAACGACGGAAGCAGACAAAATAGAGGTATACTAGAAGAAGATAGAACTAAAGTTGAAGACGAAGGTATTATTATGGGTTTAATAGGAGCGAGGTTAGTCAAAAGGAACATTATGGAATACCAAGATATTGTTATTGATAAAGAACAAAATATAGTAAAAAATGGTTATGGATCAACTTCTGCAGCATCAATCAATTTAATGTACTCTGAATTTTATAATAAGATAAACATGACTTATAGCGAATTTTTAAACTCAGAACATAACATAGATTACATCAACTTTAAATGGTTACAAAACGACGATTATTTTGATAATTTAACTTTCTCAAAACGAATATCTCTTACTTTGGATACATTTTTATTAGAAGCCAATACCAGAGCTAAAAAATATATAAATAAATTTGCTTACGTTCATTTAGTTGGAATTGGTCTTGGTGTTTGGATGAAATCAACTCATCAACTTGATGTGTTTACTAGAACAGTTTCTCAACGAATCATGTAATAATAATAGTTGATAAAAATCATCTATAATTGACTGTAACCTTTATTGTTATTTTTAGATCTTTAGGTACACATCTCAACAACATTTCAGATGTAGATTTAAGTTACATTCAAGCTATTTCGTGTGGTAATTATAATAGTGGCGATAAAATTCCAATTGAAGGTCATCCAAACGGTGGGATTAACATTTATTTAACAAAAAATCGGCCTCATACCCGTTTAAAAAACATACATGCTGGAAAATTGAGGGTCGTTTCTTATGCTTGGGATGCAAACGCATTTCCTGGAAATGAATACTGGTCTGGAAGTTTACAATCGACCAGTGGTGCTGCTGCTGCTTGTTCTACACAAGTTACCGAATTACATAACCCTTATATAAATAAAATGCTCTGTGGGGCTAATCTTCATATAGCGACCGCTGAAGATGGTGTCATTCATATTGATCATTTCTTGAAGTCCATCAATAAATAGAACGAATTAATATTAATTGTACATAAATATTTGTTTAATTATAGATAATTTTTATACAACCAGGTGTAATTAATCGGTGTACTAGAGGATTTAATAAAGTATTATTTTATGAAATATATTTTTTTGATCATTTTATACACTTTCACTATTACATAATATGTACTATTTCTTTCTGTAATATCTGTCAAATTGTTGTCAAATATCATACAAAAATTTATGTTGGTAATTTAGTTAACGGTAGATCAAATTTCACACGAACTACTAAAATAACTGTGACCTAGTCCTAGTGATTTTTTTTGTTTAAACGTCTTAACGTCGCGCGTCGTTTTGACATCTCGTGACTATGTTGAATGTGAGGTGCAATGAAATAATTCGAAAACAAATAAATTTATTTGTCAACAGCAAATTTCAAACTGCGATTGAGATGATACTGAAAAGAATGAACATAAGACGAATGATGTTTCTGAAAGATATTTGCTTTGTTGTGAAGTTGGTAACAGTTGGTTAGATTGTCCAGAAATTTTTATATGTGATGTTTTGAAATCAAGTTACATATGTCACATTGACGTTTGAATGTCGATATTCAAAAACACATTGAAATTGGGATAATTGTTTACTTTGATTGCTTTTTTGTAGCATGTTTTTACAGTAAATTTGTACTTTGTTACAATCGAATTTAAAAATGTATGTATAATACCAACCAAAACATTAACTCTAGTATTAGGAGAGGAGTTCTCTATTTATGAAGCATGTATAAAATGATCTATAGAAAAATAACCTCTTTTGAAACACTTCTTAGAATTGAACTAAAATTAGAACTAAAACTAGAAACTTTCGGATTTTGCCGTCCGTCTTTTAAGAAAATGTTTGACGTTTCAGAAACTGGTGGAACTGGTTCAAGTGGTTCAGAAACTGGTGGAACTGGTTCAGAAACTGGTGGAACTAGTTTCTGAAGAAGGTTGCAACATGGCATCCGAAACGTCAAACATTTTCTTAAAAGACGCACGGCAAAACCCGTAAGTTTCTAGTGTTAGTTCTAATTTTAGTTCAATTAATCCTAGGATACTTAACCAATAAAATATCGTCATTTACATAATCCGGGCTTCTGAGACCCGTTGTATAAAATCACGTGTAGTCAGAACAGAAACAAAGTTATTGAATTAAACTTTATTTATTTATACATATGTACGTTACAAACGTGAGGTTAAATATGAAAGTGAACATTATTGTTAAAAAAACATTATTGTTTATTGTTTTTAGGGATTAGAGAAACATTTATTGCACATTCTAATACTATGCTCATCACAGATATTATTTTTACAAGTAATACATATCATTGTGCTTTTACGATCTATACTTGCGGGACATACTGAGCATCTTTTTCTCTTAATTGTTGCAGTTGTGTGAGCGGCTGGCGGACCACATATATGCACATATATCAATAAATCTGCTCATACACTCCCGGACAGTACGCCGTAGGTAAGGGTTAGTAGATCTTCTCTGCATATGTGGTATCACTAGTTCCTTCGCTAAATCTTTCAAAAACATTCTGCGTTTGTGAGTCACTCCTATGTTGTAGTTTCGATGTTCCTTCGTAAAGACTATGCAGCATTGAGTGCTGCAACATCAATGATGTTGAAGAAAAATGTCATGGGCCATCGTTTACTTTGCCTCTTGCACGTGTATGTCCACACCATTTGATCCATGATGTCAACACCGCCCTTTGTTTTATTATAATGAGAGATGATTTCAGGCTTCCTCTTAGCGTCGTCATTGATAGATGCGTCGTGGTGCATGGTGCTTAGTAAAATTACGCATTTGTTCTTTTTACGTGCGTAACTTAGCATGGATACGTTATTTTGAAAACAAAACAATGAAAAGTAGACTACACGATCTTTTGAGGCTTTCATTTCTTTCGGAATGTCACGCTTATTCTGACGTAGTGTACCCACAACATTAATATTTTTATCCAACAGATAAGTTGCTAGCGGAACACTAGTGAAGAAATTGTCTATCGTGAGATTGCGACCACAATTATGAATGCCACGCACAAGAGTTTGTACTACTTCAAGCCCCAAGTTTTTATGTGGAGGTTCTCCGGGCTGGCGACCAACATAAACTAAACCATCCAAAGCATAACCAGACGTAGAGTCACACATCCAAAAAATTTTACGTCCATATTTTGCCGATTTACTTGGCATGTATTGAACGAATGTGCATCTACCTCTAACCCAGCCATACTCAATCTTTTTTTCTTTAGGGCCACATACCTATATTTGGTAAGTTACGCGGGCCGCAACATTATATACATAATGTAATAGTGTTTTACACAATAAAAAACGAATGTATTTTTTACAATATTTATTTGTTACCGTTATAATATTATTTTTACACAAAAAATAATTAATGTGATTTTTGATACTGTGACAATTTTTTTACTACTTGAGACAAATCGGGTTTGTAATTGGTACATGCTATCCTCAATACATCATCAAGATGAGAATCAGTAAGTCTATTTCTGTAAATGTTCTTCGCATATTTCATTTTTGAAAATGATGATTCACAAATATACGTTGATGCGAACAACGTGAGCAGTAAAAGGGCACACTTTTGTAAATGTTTATATTTTTCTGGTACTACTCTCCAAAACTCATTGTACTCCTGACCTTCTCTTTTTTCTTTAAAAATAGCTTCCAAACTTGTATCGTTCTTAAATTCGATATATTCATCAAATATCTTTGCATAATCACATCCAAAAGATGCTAATTGTGTTACACTTGTTGTTTCTAAGTGCCAAGGATTTTCCATAAGCAACAGAGAATTCTTGATATAACGTAAATCCTGAAATCTGCTCTTAAACTCATTGGATAAGGCAGCTAAATAATTAGCAAACATCATATAATTTTCTTGAGAAATATGTATACCATCTTGTTCAGCTTTTATTATGGTTGGAAAGTTACGTGATATTTGGTTCTGCATTTCTTCGTAATAGATCTTTAATTTTTCTTCAAAAGCAAATACTTTATTCGCCATCTGCGAAATAATTTTATTTTCCCCCTGTAAGCTGCGATTGAGCTCATTAAGTTTATCTGTAATGTCGCACAGAAAAGCTAAAAGACACCACCATCCATTATTTTCCAGTTCATTGTAAATTTTATTGTTTTGTTGCAAAAACAAAATAATGTTTTGCCTTAAAGAAAAAAACCGTTCCACAACTTTTCCTCTACTTAGCCATCGCACCGAGGTATGTAAAGGAATGTCATTGTAATTACAATTCATTTCTTCTAAAAGACTTTTAAATTTCCTGTGGTTCAGTTCTCGTGCTCGAATATAATTCACTATACTTATTACGGTCTTCATCACGGCGTCTATTTCGGCAATAGAGATACGTGCTGCTAAGTTCTCTTGGTGAATGATACAGTGAAAGGATAAGAGATTTGTTAAATTGTATTTCTTTTTCAATAGGGAAACAAAACCTTTTTCGGATCCTATCATTGAAGGGCATCCATCCGTGCACACGCAAACCAATTTTTTTACATCAATTTTATTGTTCTCCAGAAAAGTACTAATAATATCGAGATAGTCAGTGCCTCTGGTTTGATTCTTCATAGGAAGAAATTTAAAAAAATTTTCGTAAATATAATTTTCTTCGGTACAATACCTAACGAAAACGGAACATTGTGCTGTTGATGAAATATCGGTGCTAGAATCAAAAGCCAAACTAAAATATTTACAATTTTTTATTTCTTCTATGACGCGATCAGAAATGTATTTTGAAATATCTTCAATACGTCTAACGCAGGTAGAATCAGAGAGCTGCATGTTTTTTATTTGAGATATTATTTGATTTTTATTACTAAACTTATCAAATAATATATTGGAAGCACTAAGGAAACATTCCTTCACCACCTCTGCATCGATAAATGGTTTCATGTGTTTACCAAGTATATAACAAATTTCATACGATGCTCTTGTCACTGCTGTATCTTGTGATATTGTCACTAATAACATATTTTGTTGTTGTTGCAATGACTTTTTCAAACAAGTCAACTTTTTGCATCTTATTAAAGAGCCGTGAGAAAATGTATCATCGAATGATTTGTGTTTCGTAGTATAATGACGAACAATATTATATTTTTTTAATATAATACTTTCACGACAAATCAAACATGTTGCCGAACCATGTTTATTTGCAACAACAAAATATTCATCTTCCTAATTGTCTTGAAATGCTCTATTTTCGTCCAAAATTTTTCGTTTTGAAGATTTTCTCGCCATTATTATAATTAAAAATTATAACAAACAATATGTTACAACAGTCAAAAGTACGTTACACTCGTTTTCCGTAATAAACACATCAAATAATAAAACAAAACCACCACGCATAAAATGTATTACCCAACTAAACAAATCAACACGTTAGGACAGACCTAACATTTTAATGCTAGCTCAGCGCGGAGTCAGTCGTTGGGGAAGTCCCTGCGTACAGCAAGCGTAGGAAGCGTATCTATTCTTTCGTTGCATATTTTTATTTATACAGGGAGATTAAGAATGTTTTATTTCAACTTTTTATGACTTATCATTTCGGTATAAAAAGAGTGGTACGAGTGGTCCGAATAATTCTGTATATTATTCCATAAAATTTATTTTTTTTAAAATCACCTTTTATACATTGTGTGTTGCGCAGTGATGGGCGCTGGGTAAATACCCGGCGGGTAGGTATTTAAAAAGTGGGTATTTATCTGGGTATTTACTCCGGCCTAGGGTAAATACCCAAACAGTACATACAAAAGTGATACAAGTAAAAATATAACAGATTCGGACAAAAATGTAGAGGAACATGATGAAATGGGCGTTGAAGACGAAGAATTGTCAACGATCGAAGACGTATTATAATCAGGTAACCACTGCTCATTCTTCATTCTTGCGACGATGATCCGCCCAGTTCCACTTGAGCTTTGCCACAATGTTGACCGCATCATTTACGCCAGTTCTTCTTCGTAGGTCTTCATTTCGTATGTGGTCCCTCAGGGTTACACCCAGTATCGACCTCTCCATCTTCCTTTGCGTTACGTTGAGCCTCCTGGTAATGGCCACCGTTAATATTAATGTTTCGGATATGATAACCAAAGGAGGAACCACGCATTGATTGACAGCCTTTCTTTTCAAATATACAGGAATATCGCCTATGAAAATGTCTCTAAGTTTCCTGTAGGCTGCCTTTGATTATTATCGCTCGATACACGAACCTCATGGCCAAGATATATGGCTGCGATGCGAACCAACTGAGATGAGTACTTTAAGAACAATAGTGGAAAAGACAAGAAGACATAGGAAGTTAGGAACAAAATTGTAAGAGAATTTTGTGGATTCGGATATGTCATGAGATTTGCTAGGGGAGAAATAAAAAAAATTTATGAATACTTCCAAAGAATGGAAGAAACCTGGCTGATTAAGACAAAAGAGACCAAAGATTAGCTAGAGAGAGATGCGTAAACAGGTTACAACCTGAATAAAAGAAGAAGAATAATAAGATCTTAAACGAACTACTTAATTTAAAATTGGAAATCAACAATCTCATGGATCTTGAAATCTTGGATTTGATGGAAGTGCAATATGACTAGAAAAGAATCAAACAACAAGAATTAATGAAGCATAAAAACTGAATTTAGTAATTAATATTAGACTTATACTCAATTCAGGACATTCAAAGTTGTTTTTCAAGCATTAAAGAAATCGTTAAATATTTTCGAAGAGTATTACGTAAACGAGAATGGTCGGTAGTGAAAATATAAACTTTCCCGAAATATGTACACTTTAAAGCTAATAACACCAGGAATGTGTATAAATTTGTTAGACAGTTAAGACAAAGGCACAAATCGCACGTAGCTCTATGCTGAGATGGAACAGGAAAAATAATATGTGATAGTGAAATGAATGACATTTGGAAACATTATTTTCAAAACCTATTAAGCATAGAGAAACTGATTTGGAAACAGACAGCAGTCCGTCACACCATAGAAAGGATAGTGTCATGGCATCTATATCAATCAGTGAGGTTCAAAACGCAATCTCTGCGGCAAAATATGGAAAGGTATCAGAGATTAATAACATACCATAGAAAGTATTCTAGATGGAATATTCATCATCACCAATATTGATGTTACAGCTTGGAACAAGATTTGTCCTAAATTTTGTTGATATTTAGCCCAACTCTTGCACACGCCTCCTGTATACGTTCAGCATCAGTCTCATCTCTCCAAGGATACCGAAATAAGAACCATATCGTCCGCGTAGCGCAAATTACTTAAGTATTGCCATCAATTTTTATACCTTTTTGAGTCCAATCCAGTTATTTAAATGCACTCTCCAGGACTGTGATAAACAATTTGGGTTCACCATTATATCGCCTTGTCTTACCCCACGCTCATTGTAGCATTCTTGTAAATGTTATAAATAAGTTTGGTGTATCGATAATGGACTCTGTATTCTTGAAGTACTTGCAAAACTGCCATCAACTCAATTTAAATCAAATTTTATAAATATCTCTAAATACCCATCTTGGGTAAATACCCCAGGGTATATATCCAGGGAATTTTCCCTTGAAAATAAATACCCGGGTATTTAACAACACTGGTGTTGCGGGCCGCAAGGAACAATTGACAGGGCCGCAGGTTGAGTATGGTTGGGTTAGAGTCTAACCCAACGAGTTGTTCATCAATAGTTACATTAGTATCAGGTATGACGCAAGTTTTGCATTACTGAATAAATAAATCCCAAATGTAGGACACCATTGTTAACTTATCGGTTTCCAAACGCGCATTCCAGGTTCTCTTGTCATCAAATCTGACGAATCTTCGTATTTCTTCAAAGCGAAATATGAACATTGTGGCTCGGTATACAGGATTGGCAAATTCATCACAAAATAATTCTCTCGCCGGAACATCCCAGCTTCTGTCAACTCCCGCATGAATAAGTAAACCACAGAATGCAAGAAATTCATCAACAGTTACATCTTTCCACGGTTGCCTTTTGCTCTATAAACATGTTTGCCCTCTAAATTAGTACAGTTCACAATTTCTTCTACAATAACTGGAGTTACAAATAACTGAAACGCTTCTTTTGGTGTTGCAGGCATATGTTTCCTTGCTAGTCCTGGCGCACGTCGAATAATGTTGTATGGTTGAATTTTATTTTTTGCTGGAGGTTCCAATCTCCATACCAGACCACTTGGAGCAATGTAACCGCTCGTTGAAGGCTTGCCAATATCATCAACATCACCCTCCAGAATACTCGTCAGGAACCAATTCGAAATTTCTATCATCTCTGTCATCATTTTCTGCTTCTGACACATCACTTTCTTCAGAAGGCAGATCATAACATTCAGTTGCTCACTGCACCAATATTTCTTCATAACCGGGGTCACCAAATCTCACGTTTTCACGTTCCTTTTTGACGCCATTATCATATATATCTCACAAGTTCACTCAATCCAACTTCTATTCCAACTGAATGAAAAACAGCTGCACCTACTTTTATACATCCAACAGTAATGCACGTTTTAACTTGCACAGACACGCACAATTCCGCGCAGCAGTGTTTGACAAATTATAATAACCCTCAACCTGTAATGAACAAGTTGAAACTTGTTCTATTCTATAGTAACTAGTAGTACACGGGCTTCGAAGGCCCGGTTTATGCAAATACAGAATTTGAATGTTTTTGAATCAAGTGTGTATTGAATAAAGACGTTTAGAGCATATCTAAATGCTCAAGCCGATTGAAATTATTTTAAGAAAATTATGAGTAATTAAAATTTCGCCGGGCCTAAGAGGCCCGGTTTATGCATCCTAGGGTTAACACCGGCCGTGAAAGCCTTCGTACTTATACTTCTTAGAATGTTTCATATCGTCGGATGTTAATTTATTTCACTACCCATCCGCGGGGATAGAAGTTTTGATGCTTTGTGATAAAGTGATTATACCACTAATTGTAAGTGTATACAGAGCATAATTTTATTGATAATTATTAAATTTAAACAGGTCCGTACTGCTACACCCCCCTTTCAAGATATCAGCAGTTTGATACTACCATAATTATGGATAAAGTGAGGGTGTAGCTGAACGTCCAGTTACATTCCCCCATCCATATACAACTCCTTTCAAGATATCAACATTTTGATAGTGCCATAATTTTGTACTATTTATTTGCTAATTTTGTGCTACATTAAAAATTATTGTACTAATCATCTAGTACTTTTTTTATATATTATATCAAAGTGGTAGTTGTAGCTGGACGTTCAGTTACACCCCCCCCCCCCCCCTTTTAAGATATCAACACTTTGATGGTGCCATCATTTAGTGCTATTTATGTGCTAATTTTGTACAACATTAAAAATTTGTGTGTTAATCATTTAGTTGATTTTCAAAGTTGTTTTGAAATATTTCCAATTATCTACTATTCATCAATAAAATTTAAATTTCATAATTCGAACACCGTCATCGATTACCGACCATTACCAACCGTTCACTTATGTGTTATACTTAGGAACAAATATTTTATTTCCATTTTTTCATTTGCTCTCCAATATACTAAACTCATAAATACTTGGTTCTTGTTTATTTAATATTAAGATTTCTTAAGGTTCGTATTTGTATTTTAAAGAAGAATGTAAGTATACGTGAAGTCGTTTATCCAAACTGAAGAAATTGCAAAAAACCGCAAAAAACTTTGTTATATTACCTACTTCTTTGATATGTGTGACCCCATTATACTGTCGGTCGGCCGATTGCTCAAAGGAACTCCTCGCTACCACGTCGAGAATAAGTCTGCAATAAGACGAACAAAAATCAAAACTCACCTTAATTCCGTGTTCAATCACATAAATTCCATAAATTACAGCTCCAATTCATAGTTTTAATCACTTCATTCATAAATCGTTATTCTTGTGTGTACCGCTAGAGGCAGCACGAGCTAGAGCAACCCAACTCGACCGGTTGAATAACTATATATGTATATCTACCGGGAGTTTAAAAATTTCTCATCAATATAAACAAAAAAGTCTTAGTAAACTTAGGTCTTAAAATCAATTTTTTCAGAGATATAGTTGATTTTATGTTGCTTTTCAATAAAGTTCATATCTAGTCGTTTAGTCGTGTTACCCATGCAAAACTAAACACATTTTGTCTTTAGTTATTGTCAATCTCACGTCACTTTTGCTGGTGTAGTTGGGTACTTTTATTTCATGTAAGCATGAATGAATACACCAATGCAGAAATGGTAGACATGCACTTTACATACGGTGCTGCTAATTGTAACACTTATGAGTGAGACACGTCGCCGTTACTCGGAAACTTACCCCAACCGTAACTTACCTACCGATACATTTTCACAAAATTGCATCAACGTTTGTCGGAAGTGGGTTCGTTTAAAACAACTCACCACGATGCTGGTCGATCTCGATGTGTGAGTACTCCTGCAGTAGAAGAGGATGTTTTGAGTGGATTGAAGAAAATCAAGGCACGAGTGTAAAAAGGATCTCTATTGCAGTAAACATTATTGCCGGAATAGATATTTGCAGGGAGTTTTGCACAAAGCTAGACTATCCTTGTGGACTAATCGCAGTCTTTGTGAAAAAAATAGGGATCTCACCGCTGAAACACTGTACTGGCTCTATGTGACTGGTTAGACCTATGATCACATACGGAGCAGCAGCCTGATATAGGAAATAGTATTTGGAAATTAAACTATTTATACTACGATGATTATTTATTTGTGAAATTGTCTTTACCGGTTTCGGCACCCTTTTTTCACCCTTTTTTTAAAAAATTCCAAAAAAGGCTGCTGTTAACCGTATCAGATTCTCGATTTTTGGGTCGCATTAAGAGCATTGATCTGCACGGTGAAATTTGATAACGTTATCTATCGGGGTACAATAGATCCTTAGGGTCGCGGTGCAAAGTTGGTTGGTGCGCCTACCCGATATGTAATCTATGTAATGTAATGTAAGCATTAATGCTTCTCTAGTTTGGACAATTTTACGTCAACAACAATTGTATCCTTACCATGTTCAACGAGTGCAAGAACTTGTCGCTTCGGACTACGTTTCGAGAAGAGTATTTTGTGAAGTGATTTTGAGAAGCTTGCACAAAAGCCGATATTTCATGTTAGTGTTTTATTCACTGACGAAGCTGCTTTTACAAAAGACGGAATTTTGAATTTTCATAACAATCACGTTTGGGGGGATGAAAATTCTCACATTGTTGTGCAATCAAGAAGTCAGTATAAGTTTTCTGTAAATTTTTGGCTTGATATACTTGGTGATCGATTGATAGTATCAACGATTCTTCCTAATCGCTTAATTGGTAAAACTTATTTGGACTTTCTGCGAAACACTTTGCCAATATTATTCGAAGATGTACCTTTCCAGAATAGGTTACAAATATGAGTAAAAGTCAAGTGTGAGGCGACTTCAGTTTTTAACTGTTAGTTTAACTGTTTTGTTGTTATTTATATGGTACATTTCTAGGAATAGTCTGTTGTAATTTGTGTTTCGTTAAAGTTAAACTGATGTTTGTTATCACGACTATGTTGTGCCAACGCACACGCTCTTTTTTCTGTTCGTTTATCATTCTTGTGTTGTCTCAACCTATTTTTCAACCACTGAATCGTCGGCCAATATAACATCTATCGCAATCGTTCATACTTTGTACACAACTTTAGAAGTAAACATTATGTCTTCCTTATCCTTAGTTTTAGTAAAAATTCTGTTAACGGTATATGGGTAGTGTTCAACAATTTTGATGTTTATATTACTAGTGTCTTTTAAAATTTTTATCAATTTGTCTATTAATTCGGGAATATAACGTAATTTGGTGTATTTCATCGGATCGTCATTCTGAACTAATTAGGTGACATTCCTGGAATCCAACATTAAAAACAAGATCTTATTTAATAGTTTCTTAGGGTAACTGTTTTTAATAAATATATCCCGTAATTTTAAAAGGTTTTCTTTTTGATATTGCGGATTACATATCCGCTCTATTCGTGTTTTCATAGCAAGTACGTTAATTAAGTTAATTTTATGTTTAGTTTTGTGTAAAGAGTGAAAATTAATGTATCTACCAGAGAATGTTGGTTTGGTGTACCAATTGAATTCTATGATATTATCTTTGTTTCTACTCACCTTTGTATCCAAGAATGGTACCCAACCACCCTCGTTTTCCCTTTCTATCGTAAATTGAATGTTGGAGTTGTAATTGTTAAATTTGGTCAAGATGTCATCAGCTTCGGATGTAGGGGGGGGGGCAAGCCGGGCCCTATGCCCCGGGCGGCAAGGTCAGAGGGCGGCCAAATTCACACTTTACAGACGAATGGATAACTCATCATTTACTTAACTTTGACCACGGAATAAATAATAGTACAAGTACAGAAATTTCATGGCCATATCAACTCGACCAATACCCAGAGCGAGGAATGAGACGTGCTGCACGAACATATATTATTCGCGAGGCGCGTAGGCATAGTTCAAAATATCTAATACTATTATAATGTATCCCATACAGAACAAATGAGCCAGGTAATTCGATATGAAAAGAGAACTGGCGATGTGTGTGAAATAAAAGAAAGTTTCATTGATTTCATAGAAATTGCTGGAAAGACAGGAGAGGACATTTGTCAACAGATTTTAGAAAAATTGTCAGTTGATGATTTAGATATTGGTCAATGCCGTGGCCAATCTTATCATAATGGGTCCAATATGGCCGGCATCCATAAAGGTGTACAAGCCAGGATTGCAGAAAGGAATGAGCTGGCCGAGTTCGTACCGTGCGTGGCTCATGCCTTAAATCTTGGAGATGTTCATTCTGCCTCATCATGCCAGGAAGCTATTAACCTATTTGGACTGATTCAAAAAGTATATTGCTTTTTTGTTGGCTCCACTACTAGGTGGGACATTATGAAAAAATACGTTAAAACAAATTTAAAAGGAAGTAATCAGACGAGATGGTTGGTGAAACATGTTGCTGTGAATGCCCTATTAGATAATTTGCCAGAAATAGCGGAAGCCTTAGAAGAAGTTAAGCAAACTGCTCATGCTCCAGAAACTAAGTACGAGGCAGGTAATCTCTTAACTGCTATAAAGGATTTTAAATTTATTCTTAATTTAACTATTTGAGCGAATATTATCCACGAAATCAATCGAGTGAATATAGAAATTCAGAAAGAAGATATTATCCTTGCCCGTTCCGTCGCACTAATGGATGGTCTGCTCAAAACTTTGCAAAAAATGAGACAAAACCCAATGGAATATTGGATAAAAGAGGCTGGAGAAGTTGCTGAAAAAAGTGGTGTTGACCCTATTTTGCAAAACAGACGAATTCCGAAACGTAAAAAATATTTCGATGAGATGTGTGGAGACGAATTACAAACTCTCCAACTTGTTCAACTATTTTCTAAAGAAATGATGGTATTTGATCGAATCATATCGGAAATTAAAAAGAGGTTTGATTGTGCTACCATGCTGAATTTGAATTTTGCTTTTCTTAATGGTACTAATATTTTGAAAATGTTAATTGAAGAACTGCAAAGTATGGAGCTCGAAAATACGAGCGAGATTTAAGCGCCGTTGAATTCTGCCAAGAATTCTACGTTATTAAAGAGCAAGCTCCGCTTTTATTTGGTGATATAGAAAAGGCTAACGGTTTCTATCCCTTGCAACAGATCTATGTGCATGATTTGCAAGATGGTTTTCCTAATATTTGTATTGCCCTGCGAATTTACTCTACGCTTCCTACTAGATCCGCAAGCTGTGAGCGAACTTTTAGCAAACTAAAACTAATTAAAAATTATTTGCGATCTTCTATGTGCCAGGAACGCTTATCGAGTCTTGCAATCTTAGCGATAGAAGATCGAATTGCACACTAGTTAAATTATGACAAGGCCATAGATTTATTTGTTGAACAAAAAGTTCGAAGAGTAAAATTGTAAATTCAATTCACAAATACAATAAGCAAGAAAAGCACCTTATCTACAGTATGTCCCCGGATCGAGTTACAAAGAGGAAAAAAAGTTTTGTTACTGATTTTTCAAACTTATCTCAGCATAAATAATGCGTCGGATATGTTCAAACTACTAAATCGCATGAATTTTATACTCTAACTATAAAAGTTAACTAATTATTTTAATTTTTATGTAAAAATTGGACTTTTTTCTAAATTGAAAATTTTTCTAGTTCAATTTATGATATGTAACCATAGAAACCATAAAAGTTACAACTTATGCTGGTGAGATTAAGTCTTTTCATGCGATGTTAACCGTGAAAGAGAGAATTTATTTAGTACTGTGCTATGGTACTAGTGAATCATGTTTTCGTGTAGTTATACAAAAATTCCAGCAAAAATATCCGGACACAAAAATATCTCATGTTGGGGCTCGCAAACTTATGAAACAAATTTTGGAAACGGGTTCTGTATTATCCATAAAGAGGCAGACAAAGAGACCAAATGAGGAAGACGCTGCTTTTCAGATAGCTTTTCAACAAATGACATTGTTTCTTCCCAGCATTGTCGTTATTGGAGTGATGTAAATCCAATTATCCTTAAATTTTATACGGTCAATGTACTTTCAGCAAAACAGTTGCCCAGCTTGCCATTCACACATTGTGCCAAATGGTTAAATTTACAATTTTGTCAAAAATGGATTGAACGAAATGATCCTATTTGATGGCCAGCACGTAGTCCTGATCTTACAATTATGGATTTTTATTTTTGGGGACGATTGAAACAAATTGTTTACAGTGAACCATTACAAGATGATGCAGAACTATCAAAACTAAAAATAATTAAAGCGATAGAATCTCTACCACTGGCGGAAATTCGTACTTCTTATAAAGAATTTAGAACTCGTCTTCAAATGTGTGCCGAATTGGGAGGGAATTTGTTTGAATGAGGATTTGTTCACTTACAAATAAACAATATTTATTACTTACATAGTGTGTTATTACATAAATTTACATTTAAAATATTTTATTCAATTAGCCATATTTTAATTTGATTTGTCCGTATATTTTTCACTAACATAAGTTGTAACTTTTATTTTATTTTATTGGTTTCTATGGCTACGTATCGCAAATTGAACTTGAAAAATTTTTAATTTAGGAAATGTATAATTTTTACATAAAAATGGGAATAATTAGTTAACTTCTATAGTTAGAATATAAAGTTCGTGCGATTTAGTGGTTTGAACATATCCGACGCATTATTTATGCTGAGCTAAGTTTGAAAAATCAGTAATAAATTTTTTTTTCCTCTTTGTAACTCGATCCGGGGACATACTGTATATCAAAGTGTTCACCTATGTAATCAAATCTTTCGGTTAGAATGTTCTTTACTAATGAAATAGGAATATTAGCGAACAAATTAACTACATCAAGTGAAATTAGAACATAACCTTTTCTCATATTGCAACCTGTAAGGTTATCCACGAACTCAAATACATTTTTAACGTTATAATTTGTCTGTTTTCGAAGGAAATTGTAAGAATCTCGGTTATGTACTTAGCAAAATCGTAGGTGGCCGCACCGACAGATGAAATTGTCGGTCACAACCCTCTTTGTGAATTTTTGGGAGACAGTATACTTTAGATAAGGTTGAATTGTAAGTGGTTAATGATTTTTTTTTAAGGTGGCGATTCGAACCTCTTGGGTTCGTAAAATTGATAAAAAAATCGGTTTAGTTTCGCCAATGATTAAGAGATGTCGCACTATACACCATTTCAACGATATTCATGCATTTTTATTTTTCGTACCTATCTAGTACATGAAATGAATAATCATGTAGATTGGTTCATTAGTAAAGAACATCTAACAACGTCAACAACTAACCGAAAGATTTAATTACATAGGTGAACACTTTGATATAGATAAGGTGCTTTCTTTGCTTATTGCATTTGTGAATTGAAATTACAATTTTATCCTTCGAACTTTTTGTTCAGCAAATAAATTTATGGCCTTGTCATAATTTAACTAGTGTGCAATTCGATTTTCTATCGCTAAGATTGTAAGACTCGATAAGCGTTCCTGGCACATAGAAGATCGCAAATAATTTTTAATTAGTTTTAGTTTGCTAAAAGTTCGCTCACAGCTTGCGGATCTAGTAGGAAGCGTAGAGTAAATTCGCAAGGCAATACAAATATTAGGAAAACCATCTTGCAAATCATGCGCATAGATCTGTTGCAAGGGATAGAAACCGTTAGCCTTTTCTATATCACCAAATAAAAGCGGAGCTTGCTCTTTAATAACGTAGAGTTCCTGGCAGAATTCAACGGCGCTTATATCTCGCTCGTATTTTCGAGCTCCATACTTTTGCAGTTCTTCAATTGACATTTTCAAAATATTAGTACCATTAAGAAAAGCAAAATTTAAATTCAGCATGGTAGCACAATCAAACCTCTTTTTAATTTCTGATATGATTCGATCAAATACCATCATTCCTTTAGAAAATAGTTGAACAAGTTGGAGTGTTTGTAATTCGTCTTCACACATTTCATAGAAATGTTTTTTACGTTTCGGAATTCGTCAGTTTTGCCTAATAGGGTCAACACCACTTTTTTCAGCTGCCATTGGATTTTGTCTCATTTTTTGCAAAGTTTTGAGCAGACCATCCATTAGTGCGACGGAACGGGCAAAGATAATATCTTCTTTCTGAATTTCTATATTCACTCGATTGATTTCGTGGGGAATATTCGCCTAAATATTTAAATTAAGAATAAATTTAAAATCCTTTATAGCAGTTAAGAGATTACCTGCCTCATACTTAGTTTCTGGAGCATGAGCAGTTTGCTTAACTTCTTCTAAGGCTTCTGCTATTTCTGGCAATAAATTGAAGGAAAAGAATATATTAACAATGTTGATTGTATTTATTTTAATTGTAAATAGTTTATTATTACTTATCTTATTTATGTATTTTATTTTTGACCGTAAGAACCTTGTATTATTTATGATATTTCAGAAATATACAGGGTGGTTCAGTTTTTAGTCGGGAAACTTTACTAGGATGTAGTACTTACCAAAATAACACAAATTTTTTATATAAACACGAGGGTCACAAGGCTTTTATTTTCGATCTATGAACTGTCAAAGTTGAGCTAAGAATTTACATTTTATCTTTTATTTCGGGTATAAGTAAACAGTAGAATTTGAAATGTTGTATGTATGTACTATTGGTTAACACCTTATTTTCAACCAGACTTTAAACTTCCCTAACGCTCTCTAAGGGGATGAAATTCATAACCTTTTTGATTTTTTTATAACAACTTTCTAACGCCTTATTAACATAGAAAAATATGGGTTGTAAAGCTTATTCATTATTGCTACTGTTTTGTCTCTTTAGCTTTTTTCTTAAAGGTAATAGCTTTAGCGTAAAAAAGTAAAATATGCTATAATGCATATGTAAAGCGCTGCTATTATTAAAAAAAAATGTCTTTATAGCTGGCTATGGAAGTTACGCACGATCTAGTACTAACTAAATAACACCAATTAATTGTGATTTTCATACGAAAAACCATAAATAAGATAAATGTCTGACGGAACAAATTACGTTGTTTTAAACAATATTTAAAAATTGATATTGTTGCTTAATAACAGTCAAAAATTATTATCAACAATTATGAGGATTCACCGTAAATGAAACTTACAAGTTCTCAGAGCCAATTTTTAGAATAATTTTAGCTAAACATGGCGGCACATAGCGGTACATGGCACGAGATTTTGTTTTTTTACACGGAAACTATTAACTTTAAGGAAAATACTAAAGAGACAAAAAAGTACCCAAAAGAATGAGCTTTACAACCCATATTATGTTAATTATTATGTTAATATTCTATAATGTTAAAGTTCTTATAAAAAAATCAAGGGGGTGGTGAATTTCATTCCCTTAGAGGGCGCTAGGGAAGTTTAAGGTATGCTTCAAAATAAGGTCTTAACCAGTAGTAAATACGTACAAAGTTTCAAATTATACGGTTTACTTTCAGCCGAAATATAAAACAAAATGTAAATTTTTGACTCAACTTCGACTGTTCATAGCTTGCAAACAAACGAGTTGCGATCCTACGTTTATATAAAAAACTTGTGTTATTTTGGAAAAACTGAACCACCCTGAAGGACTGTGGTCAGCAGCTCATTCATAATCGCCTACAAATCTTCTACCTGTTATATAGTCTCAGCGAGATCGTTCATTAGACATTTCTCGGGTTCTGGTCAAAATAAAAATTTGAGAATTCAGATTTAAGTATAATCAATTGCGTTCTCTTCGACTAAAATATTTTCAGATTTCTAGCACTTCCGGTTATACTGGAAGTCGCCACCTACTTTTTTTTTAATGATACACCCGATATATTTTTACATATTTGGATTTGTGTATTTTCAAGGTTTATGAATAACTTAACTTTTTAAAATATCTGCTCTAGCAGACATTTGTTCAAAAAATCAGAGAACACTCGATTTTTGGAATATCAAGTTAGGATTCAGAACATGCTTCAGCAACATGTTTTGGTGGCAAGAACGGCTATCTAGATCGCTTGGTCACTTAACTATGGCATGTTAACTTTTCGAAATTTGGAAGCACCCTAACTTCATTTTTTTAAATGGCCCCCAATATTTTATTACTTAGTCGTCTTTGGCGTCTCATTTTTATCTTTTATACCTGATATGTCCTATACATAACATTAATAGTTTGGGAAATAGTTATGGTTTTTTGAAAAATGCATACATATCGATATTAACTTAGTGTGCCATAGATATAACTTAGTGGAAAACAAATGTTTAATGACTTATTGACAAACATCAATGTCTGATTTACGTTGTTTGATGCTTGTGAGTCTAAAACCAGTTAAAATGGGTATTAATAACGTAAATATTGTTTATACAAATGAGGACATCGTTAATTTCTTTTAATAATAAATTTCTTAATATTTTAATTTGAAATTATTTTAGTCGAAGAGAACGCAACTGATTGTAGTTAAATCTTAATTTTCAAATTTTTATTTTGGCCAGAACCCCAGAAACGTCTAATGAATGGTCTCGCTGAGACACCTGTATATATTTATTTACTCAGTAGTTAAAAAAAAAATTGGCCATGAACAAATGCTATTTTATTACCAACTAAATATTATTGATCAATTTATAATACATTTTATAACATTTTATAATTGCCAATAAAAATTATTTTTTATATTTATTTTTAAATTTTTAATCGGTACCTAAAGTCATCTTAAAAAGTCGGTACAAGTAATTGCGAAAGGTTTACTTTAAAGTGTTTTGTTGATTTTAGGCAACCCATTTTACACCTTTTCGTAATGACTAAAAATTGTGACTAAATCACATACCTTCAGAAAAAACACATTCATGAAATAATAACACATCTATTGCACTTTTACGAATACGGAATCTCTTCTTAAGATACATGAGCATTAAACGACATATTTGTCACCTCGTTTAAGTTCCTAATCTCTTCTAGAGAACGATTTGTATTAAGCCCTTATTATGGCTAACTTTCGTAATTTATTACTGTTAGAGTCATGATTATTCTAGAATACTAAATATGTCATTCTGTACAGTAATATGTGTACTTCAAGCCTACGTATTTACTTTTTTATAAATATGTAGCATTAAGTCGTGAATGTACTAACTTCATCTATGAAACCTTTATCAAAGAGATTTTTAACCTGTTTGTTTATTTTGTTTTGAATGCAAATAATACGGTTCATATTTAGTTTTTTATAGACTTTTTTGTCTTTAAACAAGTTGCTAGATTTTTCTATGTAATCATCTTTATCCATTATAACAGTGATAGAACCTTTATCTGCCCTAGTAACAATTAAGGTAGGATTCTCCTTTAGAAACCTTCTTGTTTTATTGTAAAGATTTATAAAATGACCGTGCAACCAATCAAGAATCTGTTTACAATTGATGTAATTGTAACAGTATTAGTGATCCTAGCTCTGAAAATATCTCTATCATTAACGAATTCTTCGAACTGCTTTTAGGACCTAGGTTTACTAAGACTTTTTTGTTTATCTTGCCGAAAACTATAAGTGGGTAAAATATTCCAACATAATTTTTAAACACCCGGTATAAACAAGGGTTTAGTTAGACCTTATTTACATTTTGCTTTTAAACATGGATAAGTTTACATGACCTTGTTTGTGATTGGTCGAATGTGAGATAGTTTTATACAGGTTTCTTTTTTATTTTTGACATTTTAATTTGTAGTTTCTAGGTTAGGTTGATTAGGTTACCAACATTTGCAAGATTTATGTGTTCTAAACCTTTTAATTTAGTGGAATCATTTCTTCTTAGAATTAATAATAATCTAATAGTACCTCACAACAAGTTCCGTCTTCGAAATAGGCGCAAAATGTTGGATTTAGGACCAGAAAAACAAAGTATTCTGAAACCAATATTGCTTTAAAAATTATATTAATGTAAATAACAATATTTTATTTGTAGAGGTTGCAAAATTGATTAAACAACATAAGGATGCCAGAAAAGTTATGAGTCCAAAGCAGATAAGAATGAGATGATTTTATAAAGATTTCTATATTCATATAATGATAATTTGAAACAAGATGACAGATTCAATTATTGATTTAAGATGATTAACATTACTAAATATTAAAAAGTTAGCAACAGTCACCTATTGTATGTAGTATGTACATACAGTTACTGTGCTTTACTGGACTCATCACACTCATTCACAGAATTAGAAATTATCTAAGATTCCATATTTAAAATAATTATAATATTCCAAGTATTCTTGTGAAAATATATTTTAAAATAAAAACAATCAGACCTTAAATACAAGCATACAACCCTAGTTAAGAATGTTTAACCCTAATAAGAACCCAGTGAGGGGCCAGTGACTTTGATTGTAATGATAAATTAGGGAACACATATCCATTTAAAGAGTTTGTTGAAGATTCAAGAACACATTTATGAAAATTGTTTTTTATGTGAAATAACAAAACCTTTAACAAATTATACATACCATATACAATAAAGGATGGTTAGTACGCAGAAAGCGGAGATTACTAAAACCACAGTTATCTTGCGCAATATTTCGTGATTATATGCAACCAAACCGGTGAAGTTTAATAGCCGTCGCTTGGTACCTATAAAACGTTGAGATTACTCACAGGTTAGCTTAGTTGTGTTTTTATTTAAATATCACCACTTGAACTAAAATTATCTTTTTAAAGATAATTATTATTGTTTGTTTTCTCCATAATCCTATTATGGGTGTTATTTAAGATTAAACATACTGATAACATCTTCATACCTTAAAAAGTGTTACTCTCGATTTGTGTTGGTGCCCCACAAAGAATCAGGTATAAATAATGATGTCACTAGAAGATTTTATGTCCCAAAATCATAAAAACACGATAAAACCCAGTAAAATAAACAATGGAAAATGTGTACTGCCAACAACGACCTTGAACGAAGTGATTCAGCTTAGTGCGAAATTTCCAATATCGTTCCCGATAGATTCAGCAAAATGCGAATCGTTAAAAAAAGTTGTAAGTGACGAAATTTTAGAAAGAAATATTCGATCTGTTTATCCTATAATTCATCAAAAAGTTTTGATTTTATACAAAGACTTTCTAAGTCATAAAAGAAAATTTGGATCTAAAATTGAAAAAACAATTTATAAAGATATGACTGTAGTGGATTTGGTGGATCGATTATTAAAAAAACGGGCTATTACTTTTGTCGGGGTTATGGATGCTTGGAAATTGAGAGACGGCAAAGAAGGAATCGGCGACTGGGAATCAATTGGAACCGATGACGAAACCAATTTGAAATTAAAAGATTATCTTAGTTACGACGAAATAAAATTGTCCGCCTTTTTATCGGTCTCATCCTACACTTATTTCATAAACGACGGAAACAGACGAAATAAAGGTATATTAGAAGAAGATAGAACTAAAATCGAAGACGAAGGTGTTATTATGGGCTTAATTGGAACAAGATTGGTCAAAAGGAACGTTATGGAATATCAAGACATTATTATTGATAAAGAACAAAACGTAGGAGGGAATGGTTACGGACCAACATTTGCACCAACTATAAATTCAATGTACGCTGGCTTTTATGATAAAATAAACATGACGTATCGGGAATTTTTAAGCTCAGAATTTAACAAAGATTCTGTAAATTTTAAAATGTTAGGAAACGACTATTATTTTGATAATTTAACATATTCAAAACGAATATCTCTGACTGTGGACACATTTTTAATAGAAGCTAACACCAGAGCGAAACAATCTAATAAATTTGCATACGTTCATTTAGTTGGAATTGGTCTTGGTGTTTGGATGAAATCAACTCATCAACTTGATGTGTTTACTAGAACAGTTTCTCAACGAATCATGTAATAATAATAGTTGATAAAAATCATCTATAATTGATTGTAACCTTTATTATTTTTTTTAGATCTTTAGGTGCACATCTTCATAACATTTCAGATGTAGATTTAAGTTATATCCAAGCTGTATCATGTGGTAATTATAATAGTGGCGATAAAATACCAATTGAAGGTCATCCAAACGGTGGGATTAACATTTATTTAACAAAAAATCAACCTCATGTTCGTTTACAAGAAATGCACGTTGGAAAGTTAAAGGTAGTTTCTTATGCTTGGGATGCAAATGCATTTCCCGGAAATGAATATTGGTTTGGAAGTTTGCAATCGAGCAGTGATCCTGCGGCTGCTTGTTCTACACAAGTTACAGAATTACACAATCCTTATGTCAATAAAATGCTTTGTGGTGCAAATCTTCATATAGCTACTGCTGAAAGTGGTGTTATTCATGTTGATCATTATTTAAAATCTATTAAATAAATAAATTATTATATTTCTAATTTAATCCATTTAGTCCCACTTTTGTAAAAACGTTTTTAAAATTATTTTTTGTAATTCGCGACGGTAATGAAAGCTATAACAGTACTCAAACGGGTGCTGTAATGAGATTTTAGTAACATTTTATGGAACCAGTTCAAGTTGGTGACATTGAGTCATTAATTTTTCTGGTTGTCAATGTCACAATGTTTGTCTATGGATGTTTAAAGACGTTCTTAACATCGAATACAAGGTCCACAATGATGAGGACATTGAACTCTGAGCAATTTATCTTATTTTGGGAGGTGTATATGAAACATTTTTGTCAGGTAAATAAATTTGGTGTTTTGACAGTTTCTAATTGTCAATTCAAATTTCTAGGTTCAAGTGTTACGGTGTTACCAACTGCTACATACATATTTCCCTACATTGTCAAAATGTATTTTTATTTAGAGAAAAAAAAGGGTAAAAACGCGAATTACAAAAAGCAGTTTCTGACTCGGCGTTGCATAGTCGACAAGTTTGATCCTCAGCTTGTCCAATGTCGAAGAGGTGGTATTTAGAGGCGCATGGCCGGTAAAAAACCCATAAATGTGGTCTCAAAGTTAAGAAATTTTCAAACATTTTCTTAAATATTTTCAATATGGTTATATATATATATATTTCCAATAGTGATCTTAAACGATTTCGTATGATAACATTGCATGTTTGCCAAATTCAGTCTTAAATTTTTTCAATTTGGTTTGTCTTAGAAAGACTGAATTTGGCAAACATGCAATGTTATCATACGAAATCGTTTAAGATCACTATTGGAAATATTGAACCACGCGATCAATGCTATACAGAGTGCTAACAAAGGTTATTTCTTTAAAACTTTTTTATTATATCATAAACCCTTAAAGCCTGTTTCAATTTAAAATTATTTTCACTCTAAGAAATTTTTGATTAGACGCGTCGTTTTCTAGATATTTTCAAAAAGATACAACCTCGATTTTGGAATCTTTTCATTAATCGTAGGTGCCTATGGAAACAAATTGTAAGTAAAGACAACCTGATCGACAAATATTTCTTCTTATCGAAAAACATTTATGTGGAAATTTAAGACAGAAGTATGTAAATAACTGGAATCTGAGGTCAGTACGTACACCCCAACTAGAAGAAAACATTTTGGATTTTTTGGCAGATCGTAGTACTGCCAGTACTGTTGATAGCAACAGTTTAGACATTTCAGAATATGCAATGTCTTGGCATGTTCTACACGAAGAGCAATTGTATCCATCCATTTCTCGAGAGTACAAGACTTTAAAATTGCTATGATGGAAAAATATACTATTGATGCTGCGTTTTTAGAAAAAAGTACTTTTTACAGACAATCATTGTTGTTAAGTTGGGGAGTTTTATCAATATAGTTATTTTCGGTGTTCGGTGGTTGGCAGTAGTTGGGTTATATATTTTAGACAGACAGAAAGTAAAAAAGCGGTGAATGGTTTTATTAGGTTTTATCGATTATATTTATTTTGTTAAAGAAGTTTGTGCTTTTTTTTTAATAAACGTTCTTTTCGTTTGACAATTGCTGTTTATTGAACAACCATTAACTTGAGAAATGCTGAAGAATAATTGCACTGAAGAGAATCCAAATTTCTTGCTACGTTGAGCAATAATTTGACAGATTTCTCTCTGTATAGCATTGTGCCGTGGTTGCATATTTTCAAAAGTGATCTTAAACAATTTTTCATGATAAAATTACAGTGTTTACCAAATTTTGTCTTTCTAAGACAAACCATATTGAAAATACTTAAGAAAATGTTTAAAAATGTCTTAATTTTGAGAGCCCATATTTTTTGTCAATAGTTAGTCAAAGAATGTTATAGCAATACTTGAACCCACAGAGGATTGAGCGTAAGTTCTCTATTGCAAAATCCCCTTTCTTACAACCCTATAAGCCACCCTGTCGCCGTACACTTCGTAGTAATCCAACACCATACCTGCAGCTAACCAAAACTACAATAAATAGGCATAGGCATCTTAAAAACATACAAGGCGTTCCATTTAAAATTTTCAACTTTCTTGCCACTTAATATGGGAAACGGTAATTCAATTTTTAGCCACTCTGTATAAGATACTCTGATACAACAAATGATAGTCTATTTGATAGCATTTAAAGAGTAATCGTGCCAATTTAGAGCTTTCTTGAATGAACGTTGGCTGAGTAGTAAAGTAATGCTCCCATTGTGGCTAGGCCTTTGCCAATAGTTTGTCAAAGAATGTTACAGCACTACTTGAACACACAGAGGATTGAATGCAAGGTCTTTATTGCAAAATCACCTTTGTTGCAACCCCATAATTGCAGCTAACCAGTTCTAATCATCTATAGCCGGTTCATCTACAAGTCTCCTAAGATATACATACTCTAAAAGGACCATGCTCTTGTATTATATGTATGTTGGTAGCATTAGCAACCAACTTCATGGCATATTATTCTGTAAGTGACACGTACGATGATTGTGTAAAAACTAGATTCTCGTATAGCTTTTGTTAATAAAGTAAACTAAAATTCCATTCGTGAGCGTTTTATTAGTTAAAAGACTAATACATGACAGCCCTAACATTAGCTGAATACCCTTATTATTATTATTATTCTTGTCGGGTTGAGGGGAGCGGCCCTTTGTTCAGGTATGGTTTTTAAAGTAACACACAACTAGCATTAACGATATATTAAGAAACAAACTATGAGAATGAATAATGTTTAGCGGTAACTATTAACAACAACTTGTGCGACCATGTCTATTTTTCTTCTTATTGTTTCTAACGGTTATTTTATATTCTGAACATAGCCTCAAACACATGTGTCGCCATCTATTGTGTTTATATCTAAACTGTACAAAATACTAACTTCTTTTATTTAATATCACATCTCAACACCCCTCTCGTTACCGCGACCTATAAGATCTATTGTAACTTTAGCCCTCCAAAAGTTTAGAGCAAATGTAGGTCCTTGATGAACCTTAGTATTGCCCCAAGGTCTTGTACCTTTATGTCGGTAGGTATCAAAAGAGCTTTACCGAAAATGTTATGTCTTAGACGGCCTCTGGCGACGCAATTAGACAGTATATGTTCAGCTGTTTCTGACTCGTCGCAGCAAAGTCGACAAGTTTGATCCCCAGCTTGTCCAATGTGGAAGAGGTGGTATTTTAGGGGCGCATGGCCGGTCAAGTAACCTTAGAGTGTCCTTAGATCCTTTTTGGTTTTGTTTTGCGACGGAGTTATCATACTCTTCGCTTGTCTGTGACCTGAAAGTTCTTTCCAGTTTAAAGCTACTCTTGAGGCTTCCCAACAGTTGATTATTTCTTTTAGGTGGCTTTTTTGTAGTCCACAACCAGGTTGGGGTCCAATGATTCGCTGCCTCTTTGACAAGCTTGTCCACCTTCTCATTGCCCTCAATGTTGCTGTGATCTGGAACCCACCATAGAGTAACATCATTGCCCTTAGCAAGTTCTCTCAGGTTGCTGGTACATTCTCTGATCAGTGCGGAGTCACACGTGTAGGCCTGAATTGCCTTTAAAGCAGCCCAACTGTCTGTGAAAATGTTTATGGATGCACCTTTCTGTCCCTTTTGTAGGTTCAAAACGGTGCGAAAGTTTACAGCAACAACTACTGCTTGAAAAATAATTATGCCCGAACTGAGGAGCAGTTTAATGTGGCTATTTGATCCACTGATGGTCATGCCTACTCTGGATCTAACTGTCTTTGAAGCATTGGTGTACCAGGCTAGGGCTCCTCTTTTTAGTTGAGGCTCACCCTTCGCCCAATCATCCCTGCTTCTAAATATGACCTTATACAGCTGGTTGAAATTGTATTCTATCGGTATAAGGTACGTTTTAATTTCAATCAAGTGATTTAGACATGGGTGATTGAGGATTTCGAGATGTCCTCTGAGGTTACCCTGTGTGGCGTTGCACATATTCCCTGCCACATTGATTTTACTACCTTTTTAAAAAATCAAGAAATCTGTTTTTACGTTACTATGTATAAGTTCATTTTTTATTATTAATTATAGACTTCAGCAAAAGAGAAAGTCAATTATTTTATTTTCAAAATACAAAATCTTTTTCAAAAAATACTAATATTCTATTATTTTATAATATGTGAGAAAACCCCCACACCCTGCATCAACTTGAGTGAAGAAATTGTTCAGTGATAAGGCACTTGAAGGTGCCTCCTTTTGTATATATAAATGGAGTGGTGTGAGACCGACTAGGGCTTCCAGAGCAGCCGTCGGACAAGATCTCATTGCATCCGTTATATTAAGACATGCTAACCACTATTAGATTTGTACTAGCTATAGTTGTACTGTCTTATGTTTTGTTTTTGGTCACCAAACATGTGAGGCCGAAGTCGCCTGCGGACCATGGGTCTGATTATTGCTACGTAGGCCCAATGAGCCATTCGTGGTTTGAGACCCCAGTTCCTTCCTAGGAGCCTGCGTTAGATCTGGTTTGATGTGTCATATTTACCTCGGATTGTGATTACCAGGTGATCAGCATACCGCTGAATCTTGAATCCATTGTTTGTTAGGATGTTAGGACCATAGTAGAGGTGAGAGCACTCGCCCTTGGGGACATCCTCTTAACGCCTTAATAGTCAACGACTCGCCTCTCAGACTGGCTGTGATCTGCCGACTTTTCAACATGGCTATACACCATTTGATCGTCGCCGTATGTATATCTTATACGTTTAGAGCCTTCTCTATGGATTCATAGGAGGTGTTATCAAAACTACCCTCCATGTCTATGAAAGCACGTGGGGCTATCTCTTTGTTCGTAATTACCTCCTCTAAGTGCTAGCCAAAGAGCAGTAATTGTTGATTTTGCTTTCTGGTAAGCATATTGACTAGGATGGAGTGGATTAGTGACAAGCACTCCATTCCAAAGGTATTGATGAATTACCTTTTCCATCCCTTTGAGGAGAAATGAAGTTAGACTAATTGGGCTGAATACCCTTGCTGGACATAGCCACTTCCCTTATCCGATTCCATCCGATTTGAATTTGTATGTTAGGTTATCATTTAAAAAACGATTCATATATTCTAAACCATTTTGTGGGTCATATTACAATTTATTAACTTAATTACTAAAATTTGTTGTTGTAAGAATTAGATGTGGGTTCTAAGTTCTAAAACTGGTAAGATAAGTATTTTAAAAAATATATAAAAGTAAATAATGCTTTGTTTATAGGGGTTGGAATAATGTTAAGTACAGCTAAAACTAATTTAAGACGAGTAACGCGAATAAATATTAAACAAATTACCAAAACTCACCCTCGATTCAATTACCTTTTTAACTGGCCTTATCGCACAATGTTAAAGTCGATTAACAGACTCGCGGTATAATTCGGAAGTTTCTAGTTTTATTTCTAATAACACGAGAACATAATGTTAGTTAATTTATTAGTTCGTAGGATTGGAAAGTATGTATTTCTCGTTAAGGCTAGGCTACACACATATACGTTAAGTTAATTTGGTTGCCTATCCTTTCAAAAAATCTAATTTGTGTTGTCATGACTTCAACCATGGCGTTTTACAAAATAAAGTATGATTTTTGAAGAAATTTGCACAATTGCACGCATAGTTTTGGTATGAGTTTATGTATGATGAAATGATAAAACGACGGTAAAACAAAATAAACACTGCTCAACAAGGAAAAACAACCCAACATCTTCTACAAGGCAAATATTATTTCCAACTGATATAAAAATAATCTGTAGGTTTGTATAATATAATATTCTTCAGTTTCAGTATTAATGATATGCTGAAATTGTAAAGATGTATCGCACATTTACAAATTACTTCATGTAACAAGGGTTTTCTAAAACTATTTTGTAGGCAGGTTATGGGCAAGGATAGCAGAACCATAATATTTCTGGTAGTGATTTAGGAATATTTGTAGATTGTACAAACAGTTCATTGCTTCCATTTGTTGTTTAAATAAATCAGTTTAAGTATTACTGCATTAAAATATTACTTTTAAAATCTATAAGCCTTTAAAAACACATGTTTTAATATTATTAATTGTACATAAGACTGTATATACAACAGATTTCTACTTATAATTTCCTCGTGTCCCAATAGATGTCTTATGAACCCACAAAATACATATATATTCGATGACCTTCACAAAACACCATTAATTGATCAAATAACCAAAAACATATCCAGTCGTGTTCATATCGTCTTAATTGAAATGTATCCAATACCAGATTGGCCAACTGAATCGCAAAATCTCTACGAACGCCTTCAAAAGTCCCAACATTTATTAGGCAACTTAGAAAATGTTGCGTTGAATTCAAATTTGGAGCATATCTTACAGTTAAGCGAAGAATTTCCAATTCCGTTCCCGCTACAAACTGGGAGATGTAAAACGATAAAAGAAACTGTAAGTTCGGAGAAATTAGAACATTATATTAACTCTGTTTACCCATTATTACACGAAAACGTATTACTTTTGTATTTGGACTTTTTAATATTTAAAAAAGAGTATGGCAGTGACGTTGAGAAAAAGTTATATGAAACGATGACTGTTGCTGATTTAGTTGATAGATTTTTAAAAATACGAGCAGTGACTTTTATGGGAAAATTCGATGATTATCTTCTTCTAAATGGAACGAAAGGACGTGGTAATTGGGAATCCATTGGAATTGAAAATGACGATCCTGATATTAATCTTGAAAATTGTTTAAGTTACGATGAAATCAAATTATCCGCGCTATTATCTGTGTCTTCATATACTTATTTCGTAAACAACGGTCAAAGAAGTAATAAAGGAATGCTACCAAAATCCCGAAACAATATCCAAAATGAAGGTGTCATCATAGGATTAATTGGCGCAAGATTGCGCAAGAAAAACGTCATGGAATACCAGGAGATAGTGTACAGCAAAGATCAAAACAAAGAGAAAAACGGTTATGGTGTAGTTTTTAAACCAAGTTTTGCTGCAGTTATGGCTAAGTTTTATGGAAAAGATTGTTTAACATATGGTGATTTTTTAAAAAGTAAAACTTTAAAAGAACCTGGCTATTTTAATGAAATTTCTAAAGGGGTTTATTTCGATAATATCACCTATTCAAAAAGGATGATTTTAAGTATTGATACTTTGTTATATGAGGCGAATCATAGAGCAAAAAATGTTGGTAAATTTGCATATATTCATGTAGTTGGAATTGGACTTGGTGTTTGGAAATGTTCTGTACATCAAGAGGAATTATTTATGGAAACGTTTGCTAAAAGATTAGAGTAAGTCATCAACCTCATAATTAAGTATATATTACTTTAACTTTTCAATAAACGCGCGCGGACTATTAGTTGGTATAATTTAAATTTCTAATTTCGCACTAGCTAGCGCCATCTTTTGTTGGCTAGCTGTTTCTAATAACAATATTTAAATGAATACAAACATTCGATATTGTTGACAGGCAATAATAATTCTAATAAATATTAATATTTGTGAAATGTTGTGTAAATGAAACAAAAACGATGAATTTGTCGGGTTTAACGGTCAAAATGATGATTAATGAAACAACTTTCTAAAAGCGCTAATATTTCGATTGTTTATTCAATCTTCCTCAGAGCTATTCAATGCTAAAAGGTTTTTACAAGAGAAAATACCAACAATTAAAAGTCTGATAATAACTCAAGAAAAATTAACTAGTAAAAAACCAACTTACTTGTTTAATGAGGCTAGGGAATGAGCAACGTTTGAGTTCATAACAAACTTGCTAAAAATTTTTTAAAAAATTTGAATACGTTATTACTAAACTTGTCCATAATAAAATTGAATTAAGAATTACGTTAACAATTTAAAATTTAACACACAACCCTCGGGAAAACAAGATGGACATTACACGTTAAAATAAGTTGTTACAATAAAAACTAGTTTTTTAAAATACGGCGTATGCTACATGTCAACCACAGCACAAACTCCAACAATTTGGAAGATAACCAGCGGGAAATTTAAAATTAAGATACAATGTAAATTGAACAATTTTGTAACAAAAAACCAAAATTATATCAATTATATTAATGTCAGTAGAAAAATTAAAATCATGTCAATACTGTTATTGTGTTGATCCGAGTCACTACGGTGTTGGTTGGAATTATCCTTAGCAAACAAATATGCGTATATGTTGCTGAGATTATTTGTATCATTTTTAAAGTTAACCGTGTTTTTGGTGTAGTTGATATGTACCATTTCCAGAAAAAGCCTATTATGATAATTGGGTTCCGAATCAAGAATCTTGACGTTATCAAAATCAAAAGAATGTTTACAGTCAGTTTACAGTAATGACGTGTTGGGATAGAGCACAACCGGTGTTTGATAATCTACAATCACTTTTATGTTTCGTGACTCTGCTTTTTAGCCATTGTAAAGTTTGTCCAACGTATTTTCCATCACAGTCATTGCATGAAACACAGTAAACAACATTAGACTTTAGTTCCTCAAGGGTCCTGTCCTTTAATTTAGAAAAATGGCTTCCCAGTTTGTTTTCATAACATTCAACGATTTTAACATTCTCAATACATGAAAGAGCCTGTTTTAGTCCGTTACTCAGGTTTTCGATGTAAGGAAGCTTTTTATAAACAGTCGAAACAGTAGTAAGTTGTGAAGGATTTGTTAAGATTACTTCCCGCTGAGTGTTCGTATTAAATGTAGAAAACAAAATTTTGTTAATTAGCTTAATCGGATAAAAATTGTTAATAAAATTATTTTTAAGAAACTGTAAATTGTTATGTAAAAATTGGTGGTTGCAAATACTGGTAACTCTGTGTTTCATACAACGAATGGTAGAGATTTTGTGTTTTATGTGATGGTTCGAAAAATAGTTTAAATATCGTCCTGAGTATGTTGGCTTTACATACCAGTCAAACTGAATGTTATTATCAGGATCCCGAATAACTTTAGTGTCAAGGAAGGGTAAGCTGTTGTTAACTTCCCTTTCGATAGTAAATTGAATACTCTGATGAAAATTATTAAAACACGTCAAAATGACATCCACATCCTCTCCATGAATTCCCAAAATCAAATCATTAACATACTTCTTTATAAATTGAATACGAAAAACAGCGTAGTTCATCACTATCAATGCTAAAATTGGTGACAATTTTGATTCCATTGGGGTACCTTCAATCTGTTTGTAGGTCACATTATTAAAAGTAAACTTAGAGTTCTCAAAAAGTATTTTTAAACCCAATAAAAATGTATCTTTATCCCAACAACAAACTTCAGTTATCACGTTCCCATCTTTCCTCAACAATCCTATTTACCAATTCCAAAGGTATAACAGTAAACAAACTCACAACGTCCAGTGAGTAGTCCAGTGTAAATGAAACACTATTTAAATGTTATTCAGCGCTAGATATGTTTTTATTGAATTAAAATTACAACTAACACTAGACTTAGAACGTTCGGGGTCAGCCATGCGTAAGGTGACCAGATTTTGACATTAGAAAAGCGGGACATCATTGACCGTGAAAAATAGTATCGTAATATATTTTTTAAATTTCGACATAAGTACAATTTACTAATATAATAAAAAAAACGTATAATATTATTTTATGCCTTGGCATATTTTTCATTTTAGTGATTTTTTTTAGTAAATTGCTGTCGTTGTTCAAAATATTGTGAAATTTTTTGAAACTGAAACAAGATTTTCGTAAATAGAAAATGTAACTACATTCATTTAATTTCTTTCAAAAGTCGGGTTTTTTTAAAAACGCCGTAGGACGCGGGACAAATTGTTAAAAATCAGGACTATCCCGCCAAAAGTGGGACGCCTGGTCACCTTACTATGGCCCATGCGTCTCTAAGATGGCTAAACCCGAATGTTTCTAGTTGTAGGTCTAGTGTTAGACCTAGTTTTAAATGTTATGCAGCGGTAGATTATAGTATATTTTTATTGAACTAAAACTTGCACAGGACTTAGAACTAGAAACATTCGGGTTTAGCCGTCTTAAGAGATGCATGGTTAACCCGAATGTTTCTAGTTCTAGCTCTTTTTTTGTTGCTGCCGGGCTGGATGGAGCGGCCCCTCTCGTCACTGCGACCTGTAAGATCTATTGTTACGCCTTCCAAAGGTTTAGGCAGAGCTAGGTCCTTAATGAACCTTAGTATTGCTTTTAAGCCTTGTTCCTTTAAGTCAGTAAGTGTCAGGCAAACCCTCGCTGCTTTTTTGGACAGCTTGTCCGCCTTTTCATTACCCACAATGTCTCTGTGACCTGGAATTCGCCATAGAGTAATTTCATTAACCCTGGCGAATATTCTCAGGTTATCGGTACATTCTTTGACCAGTGCGATTTCACACATGTAAGCCTGAATTGTCTTTAGGGCGGCCCGACTCTCCGCAAAGATGTATATCGATGCACGTTTCTGTCTTTTCTCAAGGTTCAAAACGGTACAGAAGTTTATGGCAAGACCTTCAGTGTGAAAAATGGTTGTATCCGAGCTTAAGGGCATCTTCATGTGGCTTTTTGGTGTACCAGGCCACGGCTCCTGTTTTGAATTGAACCTCACCCTTCGTCCATTCTTCCCTGCTTCTAAACATGACCTTGTATGGCTGGTCGAAATTATATTTTGTCGGTATACGATTCGCTTTAATTTGAATTAAGTGTCCTCTGAGGTTACTCCGCATCAGCTTGAGTGATGAAGAGCATGTCTTTGACAAGGCACTCAACGCTGTCTCTTTTGTATGTACAGGGTGGGCAAATTTGGCTGTTATTATAGGCTATCTCAGAAACTATAAGAGATACGAAAAAAGTAGGCGCCATGTCCCGGTCTCTTTTTTCGAGACTAATCCAATCCTACAAACACCAAACTTCTATCTTCTTTTGTTTTTAAGTTATAGCCAAAAAGAAAAAATTTCGTGGTTTCAAAAAATGCTCATATTTCATTTATTTTTCAAATTAGAGAAATGGGGTTGATACGTTCTTAAGACACTTTTTTAAGTAGAATATACGGCCGTTGAAAATTTTTAAATATACTTGATTATTTTTGAGATACAACACAAAGTTGTGTTTTTTTAAATACAAACTATAGTTGATTATGATGTTACTGAAAAGAGCATATTTTTAGCTTTCCAATGATGTATCGCATGTATGGTGTATTTGCAGAAAATAAGCGTTAATTTTCAATTCCAAAATAGTAAGCGCTAATGTTCAAAATTTTGATTATAGTAGGCGGGTCCGTACAGTAAATTGGACTACCTAGTGGCTATAAGTTGGTTTTGTACCATTATTCAGGATAAAGTTGGTTTTGTACCAACGAATAAAAACTTTGAATAGTTAATTTAAATTTCTCGGCATCTTATTCCTGACTTTGTTCACCATTAAAAAATGGTTAACAAGTAAAGTTTGTTTATTAAAAATACAAGAAATGTATTAATTAATGAATAATTAAATACGGACAACTTCAGGAACTAAACAGTCACAAACTGTCATCTTCTTCTACTAAACTTACTGGTTGTAAGGTTAGAACAGTTCGGTATGAATTAGGGATGTTACGGATCTTCGCTTCGACTCCGAAAGATCGGAACTTCCGATTGATTTTACACCTCCGACTCCGACTTCGGCTGCGATAATTTTGAATCGGAGTTATAACGAAAATCGAAATGTAGCAGTGTATAAGATTCGGCGTGTGTCTGGGATTCCCCGACACGAGCAAATGCTTTACAGGCGGGTAGAACCTTCATAATCAATGAAACTAATTTAACGAAATAAGAAAAAAATGCTTTAACGTAAAGTAATTTTGATTACGTTATAAACTCTTTGGCAGCACTGTGCGTCTACGTTAACGTTTGCTTGTTATTTCGTTTTCTTTTTCGATTGATTTCGGGGAATCCCGGACGCGTGTATTGTTCAGTTGTATTTTGTTTTTTCATTTGTGTATTAGTCTAAACTTGTCGGGCATCGAGCGTTTAAAGATTCCAAATAATAATTTGTGAGTTAAGTATTGTTGAAGTGATAGTTTTTTATAGACTGAATAATAAAGCCTAAAACGAGTGTTATAATAAATACGAATACGAAGAATGCATTAAGGTTGAAACTGAAAGAAAGCAGCCCTCGGCTGCATCCCCACTTCAAGAAGCCAAAAAACAAATGACTCTCAAAGACGCTTTGATGAAAAATCAAAAATGGGCTTCTTCAAATCCTAAATCAGTGGAAATTGATAATTTGATCTCTCAGGTGATTGCTCTGTAGGACCTTCCATTCAAGTTTGTAGAAGGTGTCGGATTTCGACGACT